GCCACTTAACTTCGGGCAGAACCAGCTGAACTCGGCGGGTTGTGGTGCATGCAGTGGTCTGTTCGCAAGATAATGTTTTCTTGCCCCGATTCAGCGCGATAAAGTACCGGTTTGTCTTGCAGGTGGCGCTTATTTACAAAGACCCGAGTATAGGGAACTCTATGACGGTATCTTTAGTGAGGATTATGACCTTAGAAGACGATCTTCTGGATGAGGAAGAGGAAGATGAGAAAAAGGACGGAAAGTCAGCTTCTGCGATGCTGCACAGGTGCGTTACATTGTGACATCACAGTTCGTTTTATATATTCAAAATTCAAAGCCACGTTTGGCACGCTTTCCCTCAGTTTGACCTCTGTTGCTTGGCCTTTGTACTTCGCTCCTCGGAGCTCGTCCGTCATCATCGCAGCATACAATGCTCACCCGGCCGACAAGGGTCTGGACTGCACAGCAAGGCCGACGGGTCTAGACCATTGTCATCAATCTTGTTTACCTTTGGTGACTCGGAATTATCATCTGTACGTTGCTGACTTGGATCTCCCATAGACGAAAGGCCTCCGCCCGGTGCTTACTCGACAAGAAGCTGTGCTCGGGACGTGGTACTTCTGGGTTTGTTTCGTTTGTTGTGTTTCGATTGGTGTGTGCTGTTCAGCGCTATTAACTTGGCGCCCACTCCAGATTTTGCAAGTGGCAACAGAACCACAACGACAAGGACGGTGAAGGGCAGGGGCACTTCGACACCGCCGTGCTTCTTACCAGGTATGTATACTTACAGAGCCCCTGCGAGGACGAGGGCTAATCCCCGATCCCTCCCTTATCTCAGAATCCCTGCTTACGAGGCTGCAGCTGAGACCTTAAGCGTCGACATCTTGGGTGGAAACAGGAGCCTGTGGGAGCTCCCCGTGTCCAGGGGACCGAGCCCAGTCTCTCTCCTTAAACCATCACTCTCAATGTATTCTGTCACCATTGCTCCCACCTGATCTTTACCTGTACCGAGTCATTTATAATGCGCGGACTGAAGCACTCTACTCTGCTACGCACCGTGCCGCAACGTTTTGAATTCGACCATTTAACTGCTCGGTAGAGAACACACAACCACGGAGGTGCCTTCATCGGCCTGCCGGTGCCCAGCCCGGGGCTGGCCGGTAGGGCCGGTGCTCAGGCGGCGCGTGACGTTTTGAAGTGGTCACGTGGTCCTCGTTCAGCTCTAGTGGGTGCCCGTCACTCAAGGCTAAGGCTAATACTTGAGCGCAGTGTGAGCAAACCGTGCAGTGGTGGAGTTCGGCTCTGCAAACTGTGCACGGGTTTGCGCGAAACACATTTCTATTCCGATTTGCTCTGAAATGATTGGTCAGAACGGCATGTTTGGCTCGTCTCAATCCAAAGAATTGGGTCGCTGAGATTGGGATGCATTAGTGGCGATTGGTGCAACAAAGTCTGCCCCTCCCCATACAGATTAGAGCTACCAACAAAGTGATGATCTTAAGGACGAGAAAAACAGTTCGTTTTGACTCTGGAAGGCAGTTTTGCAGCCCCAAGAAAACTCTCAGCATCTAAAATATCATCGCGTTTGTGCTTCGCCTTCGGCAACGGTGAGCAGCCAACGGGGTGGCTTATGAAGCTACAGCCCGCCCATCTCCCCCTATTTCGGGTTCAATCAGCGCAGTTTTCACCACGTCACTACTGAAAGACATTATCATGGACAGCGATATGTAAAGCAACGGCCGTTATCTGGTAACAAGGCTGGCGGGTAGCCGTGGGAATATGTGCGGTACGCAGCTGCAGCAATTGTTAAAGGCACCAGGGCAAACCAACATCAATAGTTCATTGATACGCTGGGTACTGGACCATAAGCGTTTGTGTGGTATGTTGGCCTGTTTGCAGTGCGTAGGTACTCTCCATTGACAGTACCTAGGCAGTACCACACTATAAGGCTGGGACTCGCTCGAAAGAAAGCCCCTCTCCCATCGCAAATCGCGATAGCTCCTCTCGTCGCAAATTCTGGCTGTGCTCCTGTTCGGCAGTAGCGCTTTAGAATAAGATGCTGTCATGAAGCGTCATTTTTGCGTACACTTCTTCTCAAAATCCCCGTGTCAGGGCCAAAACTTTTCAGATTTATTTCAGCGTCAAGGTAGAGCTTATGTTAGAACATCGACGCTAAACAAACGGGTGGTAATGCCACAACTTTCCACGTAACGGCCTTAAAACGCAGCTTCTTGGTGGGCTCAGTTCCTAAACGCAACTGTGGCCTCAATGGAACTGACAGTGCTCAGATGTGTTTCGCGCCCCAATGTTTCACAGAACGGTCGCTGTCAAATACTTGGCGTGGCATTGTTGTCCCGTTCTCCTTGAGCCGGGTTTGTGTTGAGTTTGGCCACGACATGTCTTCCGTCAGCACACAAACAAGCAGTCATTAGAGGCGAGCACGTCGAGAACGCCGCCGGCGTGCGGCGGGAGATCGCCGCAATCGGTGTTTTTGCTGCGGTCGGTCTGTCAAAACAGGGCGATGCGCGCTCCCCGCACGCCGCGCGCCTCCTCCCATCGCTATGGCAGCCCGCTAATCGCTCGGTGCGCCTCGACTAGACATGCGGGCAGTGGCTGGTGGAGGCGGGATGCGCCGGATATGTCTGTCACGCGTCGCGTCTCGTCGCCACTGACACGGCAGGGCAGCTTTACATGGAAGCTCAGGCGGCGGCAGGAGCGCGTTTGCCGCGAGCTAGGCGCTCAGGCCGCGCTTGCGTTTCCTGCCGAGACGGAAGGATCACTGAATCAAACTCTGGATCTCGCCGCGGCCTTGGCTGCCTGTTACCACTGATGCATGGCGTGTTCTAAAGGCGTGCACAGTACTGGCCGTGGCAGCAGATAACATGGCGCAAATTGATGGCGGCTGTAAATTTCGACCTCACATGGCTTATCAGCTGTGTCAACAAACTCCCCACTTTTCCAAATGTGCAGGGCTTCTGCCCGCTCATGTCACGAGGTGTGCCTGCCAGTGGCTGCCGTTCATTAGTTGTGTCGCGGACCCCAGCGCCGCCAAAGTATCGCCACCGTTCCCAAATAGGGTGCTCGAGCCGCAACAAACATCGGACATCCAGGGGCGCACTTGTTTCGGCCGGCTTGACAATGTGAGCCCGACGGGCCCGTCCAGAGGACGTTGGCTTTCTGCCAAAGCTTATCGACAGTAAGGGGAGGGCTCGACCCCCCGCTGCTGGTCCCTGGCGGATCTGGCGAGGGAGCTATCACTTATATGTTCCCCGGGGCTTCTAATACCGGTTATCCAATTATTACAATCTGGAGAGATTTGTCTGCAGGACATGGGGCCGGACTCACCACTGCTGATGTCATGTAATAGATATTGGCCCGTCGGGAGTACTGGCACCTTTGTCTCGTTGGCCTTCCTCGAAATGAATGCGCAACCGCGGCTTTGTTGCTAGCAACAAAGAGGGGCGAAGGGACGGTGAGGGTGCATGCAACAGGAATCATTACGCATGCCCGACCGACCAGGCTCGATTCACCCCTGGAGTCAGACACATCTCCGCGGTCCCAGAATATAGCCGAACAGCTGTCAGTAATGCCCTTTGCATGCACAGCGTAAGCTGTCTGCTTACCGTAATGGCAGCTGGCTAACGCTGCGTGTTGTTGGTCTCTGCCGGGGATGGTTTCCCGAACGCCGTTGTTGGTGCACCTGTTGCCGCTGTCAGATCGTCAGGAAGTCGGGCGGGAGGCGCGCGCGGTGCCAGCCAGGAAGATATGGCAGCCGGGAGGATATGGCAGCCGGGAGGGTGTGCCAGCCGGGAGGGTATGGCAGCCGGGAGGACATGGCAGCCGGAGGATATGGCAGTCCCCACCGGAAGAGCAGTCTGCTCCTGGTCAGTTCGAGATAGGTACTTGTCATCCCGGAAGAACGGTCGGCTCCTCGTCCGTCTGGGAGGACTCCCATCCTCGCCGAAAGAGCGGTCAGCATCCATGGTTCGTTTGCTCTGTCCACTGACAGACCCCAGGTGGTGAAAGCCCCGCCTCGCGGGACATCTACGCCTTTCAGGCCCACCGCCTGGACTATATACTCCCGGCTTAATCCGACGTGACCACTGTAGGGTCACTGCGACCCAGCTCGCTCACATGTAGGTCTCTCGATGGCCGCTCTGCGCTCGGCTCTCTCACGGGCGCGCCCTTCGCCCTTCACTGCGCCTGGTTACAAGGGCCATCGGTCGACAGTGACCACGTAAATCGGCCCGGCACCGGCTGTGCATCACAGGTGATATCGCGCCAGCAGCCAGCGTAATGTATCGCCGGCCCGGGGCCGAGCCAGCGCGCCCGGTAATGGCTGCACGTGCGCACCAGACGCGGCAGCGACGCCGTGATCCGGAGACCACCGCGCGCAACAGTTACATAATGGGGCAGCGTTGCAGCGCGGTGCGGCGCGTGCGGCCGAATGGTCTGGTCACCGGACGTGTCCTGCAGCAGGTAGCGGTGTCGCGGTCGCGGTTTGGAGCCCCTTGTCCCTGTGACGATTTTTCGTTGGGCGCGCCGCGAACCGTGGTCAGGAGGATGCGCCAGGAAAATCGCTTTTGGTGGAGTTGTTTCGACAGACGCCGCTTTGGTGGAGATGCGCCCGAGACACAACCTGCCGCCCATTGGTAGCGACGATGCACATTCTTTTAAAGCCAGCACTCGGCAGTTTCGCGGAACGTATTCCATGTCGGCTACCGGTTCCACATTCGTCTAGCCTGTGGCGCGGTGAGGCGGGTGTGCCACGCGTGATGCTCAGCAACAGCCGCGTGCCGTTAAAGTGGCGGGCGCCGGCGCCGGCGGCTGAGTCACGCTCCGGTCCGCGACTACTCGGCTCGTGATGCCAGCTAGTGATGACCCTGGCGGGGCGGCACGTCAACACAGCCGCCGGCTTCTGCTGCGGCCGCGGCCTTGTGGCCCGCCGCCCGGCCGGCGGGGCGGCGGGCGGCGGGCAGCGGACGGCGGGCGGCGCGGACGGCTGCGGCGGCCGAGATGAGGCGGTGGCGAGGCCGTTCATCAGCAGGATCACCGGCTGATTTAGCGATGGTAGGATTTGCCCTCTGTGGACTCGCCGGCGAAGGCTCTTAGGAAACCTTTTATCGCGCAACAGACATAAACATAAGCCGTGTTTGGTTTATTTTGTTCGGTTTATGACCACTGGTTGTGTGGTTCATCGATCATGTCCACTTGCTCACTGTCGTCCTCGATGGCCTTTAGAAAATCGTTTAATGGATAAAGGCTGGCTCAATGGCTCAATGGATTTGGGTGACTTCTGTGCTAGTGTAGCTGACATATTCTAGGATCAGATTTGCCAATATTTTCGTGCTTTGTCTTCTCAAAGAGATCAAGGAAAAAGCACGCGAGATGCGTATGAGGGTACACGTCAGGTTTACTCGCCTCAACTGCTGCTTCTCGTGCCCGGTTTTAATACGAACCTTCAGGCGGCTCGTTAGTGGACCGTGTGAAATACAGTCGGGGATCGGCGGCCGGAGTCGGCGGCGGCCATTCATTTGAGCCCGATGCATTATCAGTGACAGCACGCCAACTGCAGGACGCTGAACCCGTGTGACGCTCCCAGAAACTGACGCCCAACAGCGGTTCGCTCAATCACTGGTGCAATCGTTGTTTTCAGTTCGAAATAGAAGGCGTCAGGTAGCACTAACAGCGCTCACCGAACTGTCGGTTGACGAGAGCGTGCGTGCGCCAAACGCATTGTCTTGTCGGCAGCATTTTCTGTTATGGATAAGTCGTGCGCGGAGAGGGGGCATTCTGATTGCTACTTGTCGGAGTCCGTCATTTTTGCCCCTATTCCGGAGCACTCCAGTTGGATCATTACCCATCCATTTGTAACATAAACTTCGGCATCAGAGAATCGGATACAGCGCTTGACACATGTCAGCTTACCCTTGTCTTTCTTAAATGTGAGCCCGGCTTGACCCGACGCTATGTCCCGTTGTGCGGGGAGTTCACCTTACTTTTGCAGTGCTGCATGATCACCAAGCGTTGAGGCTAGCCGTCTTGGCCCGCCGACCCGGCCTGCCAGGACCTGACTTGGGACAACATGATGTGACCTGACCTGACCCCGCTCTGTCGTACAGGGAGAACATGTGCCGGAACCCGGCATTGTAGCGGTGCGACACGTGGGGTCTGGCCGAGCTGACCTGACCTGACCCCGCGCTCTGTCGTACAGGGAGAACATCTGCCGTAACCCGGCTCTGCAGCGGTGCGACACGCTGGGCCTGGCCGAGCTGGGCACCATGTGTGACCCACGCGCCTCCTGCTCAATCATTCAAGACAACGGCCTCAGCGCCGCCTTCACCGTGGCGCACGAGCTCGGACACGTGTGAGTGGCTGGGTCGTGTAGGACACGTGCGAGTCGGGCGTAATTCCCGCTCAAGCCCGACAGGCACGTCTTCTCAGGGGTTAGGACAGTGCAACTTGTGGCCACGGGGTCGGGCACAAGGCGAGGAGCCGGGCGTTAGATGCGATTTTATTGCGTGTGTGCGGAGGGGACTGAATGACCGAGCTCGTCCAGGTGGCGGCGGTTTTGCGTTGGCTTCGGATGCTAGTTAGCTGCGATCTCCTCGCCAGAGTACAAGACGGAGCGTGCTGTTTTGTCACAGTGGATCTTTGCGGCGGCTGTGACCATAAACTCGTATAGTTCTGGTGCCCACGCGGTGATGGCCGTCCGCCGCCGGACGCCCAACATAACCAGGGGCGCCGCTGTTGCAGGCTCAACATTCCACACGACGATGACTCCAAATGCCTGCCGTACATGAGCGTCGACAAGATGCACTTCGTCATGTCCCGGATGCTGGACCACAACACGTTCCCCTGGGCTTGGTCCAACTGCAGCCGCCACTATCTCACCGAGTACCTCGAGTGAGTGTCCGGCGCAGGGCGCCCTCGGAAGCCGCGCCGCCGCCGCCGGCTGCAGGCACTAAAGAGTCGCTGACTTGTTGCGATTTGTCTGATGGCCGCCTCAGACGCGACTGGCGGGGTCGGGTAACCGTCGACCCTGAAGTAAATGAGCCGGGTGCTCCTCCTGGAGCACGTGGGCTGGCGTGCGCCCCCCGGCTCCGGTGGGTGCAAGGGTCGTCCAACTTCGCCTCTCATGCGTCACATCCATCGCCGCAGCTGTCTGCAGAGCGCCAGCGCTAACACATGGCGTCGTTGGGACTGACGACCCCGGCAAGTTATCACTCGATCAGCGCCCTATACGTCCGGACGAGCGCCGCCAAATCATGCTGCGGCGGCCGTGGGCGCCGCACGCCCGTCTTTGGCCCACTCGAACATGGGCTGTTACAATAGCGCGCAAATTAAGCCGTGTACTGGCTGTGCCACAGGGCCCTCCGCCCAGGCTCCAACCGGCTCTCGGCGTTCCCGGCTGTGACCTATTGTTTGCAGCACAGGTTGGAATGGCGGGAGTTGCCAGCGGGAAGTGGTTGCACCGGTGTCCTGACTCAGCGACTGCGTTTGAGGCTCCATGGACGGGAGGTTACGTAATACGATGTCTCCCCACCGAGCGGCGGCTGTGACACCGGCAGCCATGTACCACGCTATGTTGGCCACCGACGATGCCAACTTAGCGCTGCAAGGCGACTGATTCGGCAACTCGTGGTCAATTGGACGATGCATTGGACCGACTTGGCTCAGCGTGACCATAGGGAGGGCGTGGAATCAATCCAATGCTCGACTGTGTTGACCCTGGCCTTTGTAAGGCTCAATGTTGGAAAAATCGACGTAAGCCTCCATACCAATTCTCCTTGATTGCACCATTTCGATGTCTGTAGGACTACCTCCCAATGTCGCTTACTTCTTGCTATGTCTGGGACAATATTATGACAGGACTGAAAGCATCTCGAGAGCAGGCAATATTAACACGCGCTCGGGTGGGGATCAACTTGACCCACCCAAAGCTTTTCCAGAATGGTTTCCGAACGGCGCGGTGTAGCCGCACCAAATTTTGCCAAGCTGTAGACAATTGAAAAGCGGATCGTTTGACATAAAAATTTAGATGCATCTTGTAAGGTCGCTGGCCTATGGCAGGTCAGTCAGGCCATGGTTTCCGCTAAAGCAATTTCCAGGGAATCGTTCAATCTGATCCAACAACGGAGTGTTTGACAAAGCCATACATCTCTGAGATGCCTTCTTAGGCACCACAAATATTGGATGAGCGAATAAGTTGACCTGAGGTCAGGTATTAAGGTCAGACCACGGTCAAAACCAACCTGATTTATTACTCGAGGGCCTGCTTTATGGGATAGTTTCTGGTGCTCATTTCGAATTTATTGACAGCAGGAGCCGCATTATACATCTTCATTGGCTTCTCCATGTCAGAACAGGTCAATGACCTAAGATGACCCGGGTCGACATTTTGTTTTAGGAACATACTGCCTAGCGTAATCTTGGTCGCTTATTCAAATGCAAAACTCAGAAAAGCCTTGTATGATTTTGGTCACCATGACCTTGAAAAAGTCAAACAAGGTCACTGACCTCAAATGGGCTTGTGATCTTTTGCTTAGAAACAGTTGCCTAGGTTCTGGGGGCACTTTGGAGATCATCCTGGAATTTGGCCTCGTTTGACCTTATTTGACCTGAATGTCAAAGGTCAAGGACCTAGGAGGCCAAAAATTTGATCTAAGTGAGTTCACGTACAGGTCAATACACGCTATAGATTTGATGTATCTAGTTTTCTTGGTTCTCGAGATCTCAGGGGGGGGGGAAATGAACCTCTCACCCCCACCCCCACCCGAGCGAAGGGTATCTAGCCGGTCATCCGGGCGCGTATTAAGGGTGTGTTCGCACCAAGAATGCTCTGCTCTACTTGACATCACGTAGAATATTTGCCGGACGTATTCACGGCGCGACACGACTTCTGTCTATAACTCCTTAACTGCCGTGACAATAACCGCGCATGCAACGACGCCCAAATTTGGGTTTGGTGGTACTCTGTGTGCACCAACAGTGGAAACTGCAAATTATGTTATTTGTGATGCACAGGACACCGTTTCATCACCCGTGGGCGACTTTGGGCACGCAAAATGGCTTGTTTATCATTAAATATGTTGCGCCATTTTTGTCTCACTTTGAACAAGTCGCGGAAAAAGATTATGTGCGTTGGGCAATGATTCAATGTGACGCCATGTATAATCTTTGCCGTCCGGCTCGCTGCGAACGCCAAAAGGCTCAGAGTCTCTGGGGCGTGACGTCATCAGTGACATCGACGGCATATATTCTTTGTCGCTCGGCTCGCTACGAATGCGCCCTAAATTGGTAATCCATGTACTCAATTACTGTTACCCTGTTGCGTTTTGCAAGAAACGCTTTTATGTCTGATGGCCACGAGTATGCCTGATCCTCGTCGTACACCTGTAACCAAGTCAGCCTCTCAACAGGAACATTGTTCTCCCGTCAGTGCGGGCATCAGACGTTGCCAAGATGTGACAGCGAGACACTGGCATTCATCCGCATCCCGCCCGTCCTGCCGTTGGCCTGCCTTGACCTTGAGCCGGGACGGGGTCACGGCCCCTGACCCCGGTCCGCCCACCCCGTCCGGTCACGTCACACCACCAATCACCGCCGCTGGGCGGAGGCCGGGTCGGCGCCGAAATAAGCCGGCGCGGCCGGGGCCGTCTTGACCGGCGGCCAGCGGACGGCCCCGCCCCCGCGCCGGCGCCCTGCTGCTTAGTGGGGTGGACGCGTGACTCAGCAGCGCCGACACGCCGACGCGTGTCGACCGGGCGGCTACGGACAGGGTCGGCTGGCTCCCCGCCGAACCAGCCCTCCTGGAGGCACTGAACGGCGCCCCCGGCAGGCCGGACCGCGCCGGGCGCTCGCCGGGGCACTCCCGAGACGGGCGCTGATGAGTCAGCCGAGCTGCGCGGCGGAAGACAGCCCGAGCCGTCGACGAACACGAGTCGCCGCTCCGGCGGCTTCGTGGGGGAGATCGGACACCGGGCTGCCGGTTCCGCTAGCCACCGCCAGGGACCAAGGGCGTAACCGTCACCGGGGGCGATCGGGTCCGGACCTAGATAAAGCGTAGGCAGACTGGACTATTTTTGTGCTTTGACCATACAGGCTGTCACCAAAACAGGCCGTACTTGCAAGGCCTGATTCCGTCCACGGCCACGGGCTCATGTGCACTGCCGCCCGCGGCCCGCTGCAACGTTGCTCAGGTCCTTATTGATTGAATTTCATCAATTGGTGGCATGAGTCAGCCGCGCCGACACCGCCCCCCCGCCCCCCCCCCCCCCCCCCCGGCGGCGGGTGAGGGGTTGCGGCGGGCGCAGACGGGCCGCCGGCCGCCCAACCGGGCCGCTCAGACGGCGCCGAGCCGCCGCCGGCGCGAAAATAATCACCCGCCAATTGTTTACATTGGACGCTGGCAAATGTGCTGCGATACACATATACAGGACGGCCGAGCAATGAGACCGTCGCCGGTCGGGGCCTTGACGCGCGTACGATCAGAACGCTGTCGCAGACTTGCATGCGGCATACAGCAGCTGTTGCTGATGCTGCGGGCCGCGTCCGCAGGCAGTTTGCAATTTCTGTCATTGATCGGCATGCAGGTGCCTGCCACGCTGCAGACTATTTATTTCCCCATGCCTGTCGGGCGCCTTGTGAAAAGCACGCGTCCTATCAGCACCCTATCGCGGGTGGCGTTTCCCGTCAACAGATGGCGCTGCAGCAGTAGGGCTGTCGCTGAACGGAGGCGTTCTGGCGGGCGCTGAGAGAGCTGCAGCAACTGTACCCGCTTGGGATAATGGGGTTCTTTCCATTTCCATGATTGTGCTGCTCATGTTTTATGCATGCGTCGGATCCCCACCAGCTCCCAGTGTCTGCCTCCAGTGACCCATCACCTCCCCCTTCCCATCGCTAACTGCGTCCAATTACCACAGTGACTCGGATGCGCTTCTTGTGTCGTGGGTCAAACGCCGCGTCGCATGTATTTACTGGCGTTCAATTGTTTTAACCTTGGGATTTTAAACATGGTTTAGCCAAGGTAACCATTAGCCGAACAGAGGAAACGCACTGCTTAAAGATACAAAGTGGCACCTATACACATGGCCGAAGACGCTGGCTGCCGTCAGCTCGGACGCAGGCACGAGCTTCCTCACACAGCGGCCTCATTCACGTTCTTTTTCTGCGGATATAACATGATTTCCCTCTTTGCGGTGGCACCGCGCTCCGTCCCGACGCTACCTACCCACGCGCTGAGCGTCGCCCCGCGCCGAGAGCCGTCCCCGCGCCAGTTCTGTCCCCGCGCCAGGTCTGTCCTCGCGCCAGTCCTGCCCCCGGCCGTGCCTGACCTGGCGGTCGTGACCTGTTCCAGCGCCGGGTACGGTGACTGTCTGCTAAACTCGCCCAACACCAACTACCTGCGCAACACGGGCCGCGGAGCACGCACAGACCTGGCAGGCGAGACGTATGACGCCAGCCAGCAGTGCAAGTTCGTCTTCGGGGACCAGTTCGAGATCTGCTCCTACATGGTAATGCGCCGCCGAATTTGGCTCCGGCTCATGGGTGACCAGTGATGGTGTTTTGATGTCTGCCACGTGCATTACTTTTGGTATGTTTTTTCTCTCTCTTCCCCGGAGGTGCTGTTAAGCGGGTTTGGCTTGATGGTGTCGTGCTGTTGAAGTTTCCCGTTGCGTTTTGTTTTCATCGCCTGCACTTGGTCCAGTAGCATACAGCTAATTTGCTTTTGTACAGTTGTGTCTTCGTTGAACACCATGACGTCATGTTGCATTTCTCTAAAGCGCGGTGAAAGGGTTCGCACCAAAAGCTTTTTCGCCCAGTCAGCCTACTGTATTTTTACTTTGAAAAGACCCGACACTGACGAAGGTCATAGCCGGCTGAAGAGTGGCAGGGACATAGCAACAGCAGCAGCCCTTGGCTCTTACATCCACACCGGCTATGGGTGCGATTCATCTGCCTACACGTCCCCTCGAAGACATTGATTACTAGCTTTGGCCGCTCAGACGTCGTGTTTGGGAGCGATATCTCCACGGATCTGTCAGGAGCAGGTGGATTAAAGGACTGGGTTGCCATACTGAACTGCACTCGATGCGAGTTGCACAGTATGGTGTTGTTGTGGCATTGACCTGACAGCACATACGTAATCCCCTCCATTATAGGGCTCGCGCCCCGCGTGATTAGCATATCACATTTCCATCGCGTTGCTATGCAACCTTAGCCTTCAGGTATGCAGCATCTCATATCATGAACACGTTTGTAAGCAATGCAAACTCTGAACCATGAACATAAATCACATGAATGTCCTCATATGTAGAAGAGCCCCGAAAGTCAGCAAAAGCGGAAGCTTGATGACTAAAACAGCAGTTGTGTAATTTACATAGTATACGCCGTCGGCGACACATAGATGAGTTCAACAGACCTGGAGGCGCCCCGGTCCGTCCTTCCGACGGCTTGTGAACAGCTATGTTAGTCTGTTTTGAACACATTTCTCTGTTCTGCATGTCAGGTGGTCTGTGCGCGGCCCTGGTTTATGTTTTATATTTCAGCCGGTCTGTAAGCTTCCGTTGATTCCTACTTCAACCCGTCTGAAGCGGTTCTGTCTCCCCGTTCCCATCCTGTCTCATAGTCCTTGTCCCCTGCTGCATCCGTTCCGTGATCATTAGCTCTGTTCACTCTCTTAGCCCGTTCTCAATGGTTCAGTCCCTGTTTCGGCCTGTTTGTCAGCGTCCGTCCCCTGTTTGTCTGTCTGTTGGCGCTTGCCCCTGTTCCAGCCTGTTTGTAAGCGTCGGTCCCCTGTTTCAGCCTGTCTGTTGGCGCTTGCCCCTGTTTCAGCTGGTTTGTAAGCGTCGGTCCCCTGTTTCAGCCGGTTTGTTGGCGCCTGCCCCTGTTTCAGCCGATCTGTAAGCGTCTGCCCGCCGTTTCAGCCGGTCTGTAAGCGGCTGTGGTGCACCTCCGGCGAGGAGGAGGCCGGCTGCCGCACGCAGCACATGCCGTGGGCGGACGGCACCGCCTGCGGCCCGGACAGGTGGTGTCAGCGCGGCGAGTGCCGACCGCGCTCGCCGCAGGCCGACACCGTGCACGGCGCCTGGGGCGAGTGGGGCGAGTAAGTGACGCGCTGCTCGCCGGGCCGGTGGAGGGGGACCGAGCTGCGCTGGCGGCGGCGGCCGATGGCAGAGGTCCCACCCTCCGCGGGTCACACGGTGTCGCGAGTCGCTTGGGTGGCGCCGTGTGACGTGCTGCTCCTCGAGCCAGCGGCTGGACCGCCTGGCAGGGGATGGATCGATCAGACGCTGGGGTGTCCAGAAAGGGGGGGGGGCTGATGTACAGCACAATGGGCCCGTCGAATTCCTCGGTGCATGTCTTGCGTGATCGCCTTCGCTGACTTGTCTTCCTCAGACATGCGGTGAAGAGAGGCAGCAGCGGTCATCGCTCTCGCTGTCATTCGTTTAAATCGCGCGGAATTTTTATTCTTCGGCAGCTTGACAGGGAAGCTGATTTATTGTCGTAGACCGAAGGGTGGGAAGGTGATAGTTTGCAAATAGTAAGCACCAATCATCCCATAATCAAGTCGGGTCATTTGTCTGCATGATGCTGATTGATGACTTGTCACTGACGCACGGATGGGGGCAAGGGCGGCTAACAACAGCATCACGGGTCGAGTGTGCTCATCAGGCCTCCGTCCGGGCTGTTGGACGCGCCAATGATGTATGCGAGTCATTTGGAGGCAGGTGGAGTTTTGAGCGCCCGGGAAGGCTGCGGTGACGTAGTTTGATGGGGCAGCGGCTATGGTGCAGCCAGGTAACCAACTTGCAGTAAAAACAATGGTCACATGAGTCAAACTATCGTCGCTAAGAAAACTACGGGGAGGGGGGACACAGCAGCTGATGAACACAAATCGGCTCTGTCCAGGCTGCAAGGAAAATATTTACTCTTGGAGCGGTGCCTGTTCCGCCGAGTTTTGCCAACTTATCACTTCACCAAGCGCCAGAAGTAACTCATGGTCCTCAGTTTGTTTCACGCCCAGCTGTGACACCTGACACAGCCATGCGCCATCTGAGTTCATATGGCGTCGTTAATGTCACAAGTTTGAGCGCGTTGCTTTATATTGGAATGTAATGCTATCCAGGTCCGCGCAAACGTCACACAATATTTAAGCTGCCAGTTCCGAGACGAGCAGTTTGTTAGTTAAAAAGGTGAATTGTATTCGTTGGGCTGAAGAACTCGTCGCCAATAACGGGCATTGTTGCCGAGCTGCTGACTGGCTGGGTTTGACCTGGTGCTCCCGGGCGCGGCCTGCCCGCCCGGTAACACCCATCGGCGAGGACGCTGTGGCTCGCTGCCCAGCCGCTGGTCGTCGACATTTGTCACTCGTCTTATGTCAAGCCGCACACCCCGCCCTCGTAGCCCTCAATCGGATGGCTTAAATGGGCGTCTATGTTTGGATGGTTGACTGATGGAGCCACGTAGCGCACGGGACAGGCTTATTTGAACTAGCTGAGCCTGATACTGCGACGGCACCAGGACCGCGAATTTCGCGAGACTCAGCTGAACCAGCTGCTAGTATCGTCAGTCTCGATCGGCCTGACAAGGATTTTGAGCTGAGATGGTTGTCAAGATTTGACAACATGAATGTCCACCGAGATGGCTCTGAGAGGATTCGGAGCGCGAATGTGGTGTATTGCAGAACTGTCCTAGTCTATCGTATGATGCATGAAAGTCTGCTAAATCGCTTGGTCAGGTGACGTGCTGCTGGCCAGTAGTTCAGATTGCCCACACTGCAGCAATGTCAACGCTGGGTTCGTCGCTGAACCGAAGTTCTATGGATGGTTCGATCATCATCGCCTACTCTGCATAGGGCCACATATGTCTGTTAGCGGCTTATGATGGCATACGTTCTCTGCAGACCTAAGGGGCTTCGTATCGTTAAGTCTTGCTCGCCGCGTTTTTTTTTTAGTAGCTGGTATGTGACAGTAAACATGACACGAGCTACGTTTAGTCTAAGCGTCATCCTCCCCGACAAACCCGCCGTGTCATGACTATGTCGGAACATGCCACTTGTGAGCCTGCGTGCAGCCCAGCCCGCCGCGCCGTGTCCCGCCGGCCCGATGTGACGGTCCGCCCCGGCACACCAGGTGGGGCCGGTGCTCGCGCACTTGTGGCGGTGGCATCCGCCGCTCCGAGAGGAGCTGCAACTCACCGACACCCTCCAACGGCGGCAGCTACTGCCTGGGGCGACGCGTCAGGTTAGTCCCCCCCCCCCCCCCCCCCCTCCAGCCCACGCCTCTGCCTGTCTGTCAGACAGAGGTCTGTCTTGTCTGCCGGTCCGCGCGAGCCTGTCTGTCCGTCAGCCTGTCTGCCTGCCCGTCTGTCTCTCTGTCTGTCTGTCTGTCTGTCTGTCTGCATGTCTGTAAGTTTCCGGGCGTGGGTGTGTTCGTAAAAGTCTTCCTATTTGTCCACATGTCTGTCTGTATATTTGTCGCGCGCATTGATCTAACGATCTGCTGCCTGGTCTGCATGCTCATACATCCGTGCTTGGAGTGTGAGTGGCTGGCTGTGGCCCTCGTGGTCCTCGCTCCCGTGAGCGTCACGCTCGTGTGACAGGTAACTGCAGGCTGCCCTCCCGACCGGCGTGTGTGTGTGTGTGTGACACGAACGCCAGCTGGGGCACTTCCGAGACCCAGCCGTCTCGTTCCTCGAAAGGGCGCGCCTGTTTTTCTTGGCTCGGAGCTGTGCTGGCTCGATTCGATGTGCTGAGCCCAGCTGCCGGCCGGGTTCGCCGGCTGCGTGCAGGGCTTGCATCGCACCGAACTGGCTGGCTCCGGTCGCCAGCCAGTGGCCAGCTCTTGAAACGAAGCCGCAACGGCCATGGATTGGGAATCGCACCGTTTGGGAGCCGATGTTTGCCGTTCCTACCGTTGTGTGCCGAAATCAGCTGGGTTTTGTTCTGAAGTGTCTGGTGAAAAGTGTGGTGCGGCGAAACGAAGTTGTTTCCGGACGTTGCGTTTCAGCCGTGAAATCTCAAAACGGTGCAGGGCGTAGTTTTGCTCTATCAAACGGGTGACAAACCGCAGTTCACAGACATCGACCAGTGGAGACGAGCTGTGTGTGTGGCAGGTCGAGTTTGTGTGTTTCCTCCCCTCGTGGCGCCACACTGGCTGACCGACCCTTTAGGACAAACCGCTATGCCAGATGATAGCTGCGCCATCCACACTAGCGCGACTTGTGGCTACTAAGACGTACACAAATGCGTGTGACATAGAGAACAGAAGAGGCAAAGCGTGCTTCACATGGAATTCGATTTGCTGGCTGTGCCGTACGCGCAGTTTATTTTTCGCCGTCCGTGGCGGCTGTGAGGGAACGGGCGCCTGTCGTGTCCCGTTGCAGACCGCATCGCAGGCTTGTCACGTACTCAGCTCCGTCGCAACAACACACCACATATCCGCGCTGCCAGCGCGCACTCTGTGTGATGCCGGGGCCTGGTGCCGCCATCCTGCCAGCGGTCGAATGTCAGTCTGTCCCTCCCCTCCCCTCCCCCCCCCCCCTGCCCCGTGCCGGATGGTATGAACAAACGCGGCGCCTGTGCGCCGACCGGCTCCCAGCCGTCCCAGCTAGTTTCGGACCACCCGTCCACTGAACAGCGCCGTCGCCACTGGCCGGGGTGCCCGCAGAGGGTTGCCGGGGACAGGTAGCGAGACGGCGCCGCCAGGGCGGGCACAACCGCCGCCTCCACCGCCCTGCTCTCGTTACAAGGACGTCCTGGCGGCTGTGAGGCCGCCGCCGCCGCCGCCTCGCGCGGCTCCGGCTCCCCTTACTCCGTCTCTGAGGGCATCCGGTGCCGCAGGTACGAGTCCTGCAACCGTCCCAACTGCCCGGCCGGCAGCACCGACTTCCGGGAGGCGCAGTGCGCCACCTTCAACGGCAACAACTTCAACATCCAGGGCTTGCCAGCCGACGTTGAATGGGTACCAAAGTACACCGGAAGTAAGTGCCCCCCCGTCTGTTGTTGGCGTGATGGCCTGTTGCCCTTTCATTGGACGGTTAAACGGACTCTGCGCGACCTTTGAACCGCTGCTGTTTAAATACCACGATGTCCGAGCGTTGATTCTACCTGGCTTCAGGGCGCATCGCGCCTCGTCTTCTGAGACTTAATTAAGGTCAGCTGGCGGCTGGCCGAGCTCGCTGACTGGCGGTTTCGCTGCCGGCAGTCAAGACAAAAGACCGCTGCAAGCTGTTCTGCCGCGTGGCCGACTCTAGCGCCTATTACCTGCTTAATGAGCGCGTGCTGGACGGCACGCCGTGCACCCCGGACACGGACAACATGTGCGTCAACGGCATCTGCGTGCCGGCCGGCTGCGACCACATCCTGCACTCGGACGTGCGGGCGGGTGAGTCGTCATTCGTCAGTCGTCAGTCGTAAGCTGTCAGTCATCAGTCGTCAATTGCCATTTAGTTCATAGCCAGTCAGGTTTCATTCATCCTGGTCGCCATAGCAGTCACTAATCGTCAGTCGCTGGTCGTCAGTCGCTCGTCAGTCGTCTGCCGTCTGTCGTCCGTGTCAGTCGACCGTGCAGTGCATTCAGTCAGTCAGTGCGTCAGTCAGATGACCGTGTCACTCAAGGTCGAAATCCCGAATGTCGCGATTGGCGGCGTATAGCGCACCACGCGTCACGCACGCAGACACGCACCGTCGCCCCGCCACCAAGCCGCTCCACACCGACGCCCACAGACAAGTGCGGCGTATGCGGCGGCGACAACTCCACCTGCCACGTCATCAAGGGCTACTTCGACAGCAGCAACCACCAGATCCGCTACGGCTACAACAGGGTGGTGCGGGTGCCGGCCGGCGCCACCAGCCTCGACATCAGGCAGATGAGCCACGACGACACGAGCCGGGACGACAATTACCTGGGTAAATTGGACTGGACAGGACGGGACGGGACTGGCGTGGTGAGCCGGGGATGGGAGAGACGTGTAGCAGCATCTAGGCATCGTGTATCAGGGCAGCAAGGTGTCGTGTTGTATGCTACGCTTGGAGAATCATCAGATTGCTGCCTGCGTGAAGGGTGGCCTGCGTTACTGCTTCTTATGAAAGCCAAGTGTTCTTTGCTCGGTTCCAGTGCAGTCAATAAATGTCAGCACCGTGTCCAGAACGCTTATCGCAGCCGCCTTATCTCGTGTAGTAGTGTATTGTCACGTAGTGAATGAAACGTCAGATTGCTTATCTTTCACGTAACTAATCTGGTCGTTAGCGTCACCTTCTCTTACTCGGTTATCGGTCCGGTTGTCAAACAGCTATCTCTTTTGATCAGTTTCAATTCTCAGTGTTATCGGAGCCTTTCAGCGGCCGAATCGGCTTCCGTTTGTCGTATCGATCCGCTGCTGTGAATCACGTACAACCGCTGCACGCCCCTGCAGCGCCGTGACTCACGAGTCGTTGTGACGGCACTTCCGTCATAAAACGTGACGGCCCCTCCCACTGGCATCACGTTCACGCGCACCCATCGACCGCAGCGCTCATGGACCCCGACGACGGCGAGTACATCCTCAACGGCAACTTTGTGGTCAGCATGTTCAAGAAGGTGATGCAGTACGGCGGCGTGCTGCTCGGCTACACGGGCTCCGACTCGGTCACTGAGCGCGTCAACTGCAGCAAGCCGCTGGAAAAAGACCTTGAGCTCTATGTGAGTGTAGGGCTGGGCCGGCAGGTCTTCAGAAGGGTCGGTTAGCGGTCAGGGCGGGGGACTCGGTGAGCTGCACATGATTGCTGACTGTCCCATCAGCTCGTGTTAGTGGCGGTCGCATTTCCGTTAGCTCATGTCTGTCGTAGTCAAAACGTGCGACGGCTGTGAGCTGCCGTCGGCTTGGACGAGCTGTGGTGGGCTCGGCTTGTTCATTGCCCCCATGAAGCAGTTTGGATTATTCGGCGAATCTGAGCTGGTTAGCTTATCTTGAATGTGGTCTGCTTTTTTTTTAAGAACAACAACAGAGCTGGACAAACTAGCTTGCCTGAGGGCGTATGTAAACTTTGTCCGCAGGTGCTGTCTGTGGGCAAGCTGCGCTCCCCCAACGTGGTGTACGAGTACACCGTATCCGTGGGAAAGAAGGAGACATATCACTGGCGGCGCCATCCCCAGTGGACGGAATGCAACATGGTCTGTAACGGTAAGGTCGCTAAACTCCTCACCGGCACGACGATCACTCCTGCTCGCCCTTCACAGCTCGGCCTCCCAACTAGACACCGAGTCTCTGAATCCGAATCCGAGTCTCTGACCCAGAGTCAGAGTCTCCAACAGAGAGTCCGAGTCAGTTACTCAGAATCCGAGTATCTGACTCAGAGTCCGAGTCTCAAACACACAGTCCGAGTCAGTTGTTCAGAATCCGAGTATCTGACTCAGAGTCCGAGTCTCAAACACACAGTCCGAGTCAGTTGCTCAGAATCCGAGTATCTGACTCAGAGTCCGAGTCTCTGGCTCAGGGTCTGAGCGTCTGTCCGCTCGTCTGTCGCAGGCACCCAGTACAAGGACGTGGAGTGCGTTCGCAAGTCTGACGCAGCGCCAGTGTCGGAGAGCCACTGTTACCCGACGCCGCGGCCCGACCGGCTCGAGACTCCCTGCAACACTCACTGCACGCTCATGTAAGCACGGCTCGGCGGCGGCGGCCGAGCCAGCCGCGGCTCGGCGGCCGTCAAGCCGGGAGAAGCCGGGGTTGAGGTTGGCGTGTGGCAGTGATAGAATTCTGCGTGTGCTGAAACGTGCGATGGAAGAAGTGTATGCGTTTGTTTTCGATGTGACGGCGGTATACTCCATGTTTTTCGTAGAAACAAAGTAAAAAAGTGCGTCGTCACTTTGATAGGCTAGTGATGTATACTACCGGTACTTTTCTTGATCAGGTCTGTTCAAGTATACGACATGGTATAAAGAAACGCATGATATTTCTCACCCACCCGTGCTCCGTTTGTAAAGTGCATGCCATTGCGCCGTTTTCTCCAAGCCGTGGAGCGCCCGGCGCCGCTCCAGTGACCTTCCGCCGTGCCCTCCGGCAGCTGGAAGGTGACCCACCAGTCAGAGTGCTCGTCGCCCTGCGGCGCCGGCCAGCGGCGCAACGTGGTGCGCTGCTTCCAGAGCTTCCCGCTCTTCGAGATGTCGCCCATCAGCGAGCAGTACTGCCAGCACATCACACCGCGGCCGCCGGCGGTGGAGGCGTGCCAGGGCGCGTGCGACCCCACGCACTGGCGCTTCGGCGACTGGTCCCCGGTACGCACCCTCGCGGCCCTCTGGCGGTCCGGACTGGCGCCGGGGCCCCACGCACTGGGGCTTCGGCGACTGGTCCCCGGTACGCACTCTCGCGGCCCTCTGGCGGTCCGGACCGGCGCCGGGGCCCCGCGCTCGCCGTGGCCGGCGGCGGCGATCGGGACGCTCTAGAGCCGCGCACGGCTGGTGCAGTCTAGGGCCTGACGGCAGGAGGGAGCACCGGCTCGCTTCAGACAGGCTTGGCGTGATGGTGCGGTCGGGAGATTGGCTGCCTCGTCTTCTCGCAATGCCGATACATGTCTGATGTTTGTTATTGCCATACGTCGCTGAGCTGGATTGTTGCCGGGCGCGGTATGATTACCTCGTGTGCCCTGCCCCCGACCCCATCAGTCTGTGTTTCCACGCTGTCGTCTTTTCTCCGCCATTCTTCCTACCCTCGTGTCGCGGCCCTGTATCGTCTGTCGAGAGGCCATCCATCCATGACTGTCATCCAGCAATTACTCCCATCCATCAGCGACCAGACCAGTGCCTGCTATTAGGCCATCACCCATCAATCGGCTAATCTTTGGAGCTGTGGCTGTATTACGGCCGAACGTCCGCCGTCTCCGCCGTCGTCCTCCTTCGCTCGGCCCACCCCAACTCTCCCCCGTCTGACGCCCCCCCCCCCTCCCCTTCCCCCGCGCAGTGTTCCCGCACATGCGGCGGCGGCGTCCAGAACCGCAGCGCTGTGTGCGTGACCAGCTCCAACCAGCCGCTGGCCGACTCGCGCTGCAACCAGGCGGAGCGGCGCTTGACGCGACCCTGCGGCAGTGCCGAGTGCCCCGGCTGGCGTGTCGGCAACTGGAGTGCCGTAAGTGGTCGGCACTCGGGGCACTCCGGGCCGCTGCCCGGGGCCGACGGGCAGATTTGGCTGGAAGCTTCTCAGTGCCCGTGCTTTCGCTCTATTCGCCTTACTCCGTGCTTTCTTTTCCGACCGTTGCACTTTCACACTTGCTGATTGCGAACCCTGCCGCCTTTTCCTGCCTTTCGTATGTTTTCCATTGTGCCTTGCTTTGCCTTCCTTCCTAATGATCTGACTTCACTGTACTTTGGAAATCCTTGAGCCATAGAGGCGCTCGCCGTTCCCTTTATCTCTCCTCTGTACACCTCGCTATATCGTCTGCATCAGCCTTTTCTGCACTGGCGTACGTTTCATTTTAGATCTGTGTTTGCGTTTGCAATCTAGGCAAAGCTGCATGTATGGGGCGCTCGTAGACATGTGAATAGTAGACACACATCTCCACACAGACTGCCATGCCGCCATGCCATGCCATGCCATGCCAGGCCATGTCATGTCATGTGCCGTCTGCCGCTCAGAGCTGCCTGGCGCCAGCGGTGTCCCAGGTTGCAGCCATGACATGCACCACGTGGTATGCATCTCCAGCGCACTCTGACGGGCCACGGACTGAAACACGGCCGCGGGCCGAGCAGTGCATGACATGGGGTGCCTGGCGGGGACGCTCGAAGCTCCAGTCGTGCTGTGGGGCCTCCGCCGGCCCGCTGGCCGCGTGCCGCCACGTGTCGCCACGTGACGCCACGTGACGCGCTGGGACCGTGTCGCAGTGTTCCAAGACGTGCGGCGCGGGCCAGCGGCTGCGGCCGTACTGGTGCGCCCGCGGCGACAGCTACGTGGCGCAGTCGTACTGTGACCCGACGCTGGCGCCCTCCCAGACGCAGCCCTGTGAGATGGCTGCGTGCGCGCAGTGGCGCGCGCTCGCCTGGGACGAGGTAGGGTCTCCCCCGCTCCCACCGCCGCCGCCGCCGTTCGTGATCCGCCACTAACTCAGAGGCTGTGGGGTCGTCTGGCCTCTGCGAGCCTACGCTGGCCGTTCGTAACGCTGGCTGCGTTAGCTATCCTCCTCCCCCCCCCCCCCCGCCCCCTGCTGCTGGATGACCGCGTCTTGCGGATGAGGGTCGCTCGGCTGGGATCCGAGGCGGTCTTAAAGCCTTGCTTGCTTGCGGTCGGTTGGCTTGCTTCCGTGCATGTGGGCTTTTGGGTGTAGGTCCCAGTGACCCGGTGACCCTGCCGCGTTGTTCCCAGTGGTCACTGAACATATTTAAGCGGTGCTCTGCTGACCATTAGCCTCTTCTCAGCGATGCACTGCTGACCAATAGCCTCCTTTCAGTGGTGGAACGTCTCCATTCTCCTTCATGCATCGAGATCGAATCGCGCATTGCATTGGAGTCGTAATGTACATACGCTGTACCCTCCCACGCATGGTCGTCATCGACTTCAAACATGTAACATACTTGACGGTGGGTGGGGACGTGTTTGACATTCATTTTGTGTTGGTTTTTCCGAGTGTAAGAGAGTTAGGTTCCTTGATGAATCCAGTGAATATGCATAATGTTCCAACACCAACGCATTGCCACTTATGCGGTAGCGCTCTGTGTTATGGATAAGCGTAGTGGATCAACCTGTGAATACGTGAGTGGATAAACATGGGCCGGGGCCGAAATGATTTCCGATCTCACTGATAGTGTGGTTCAAGCCCAAGCTACTCGTCGCCGGTCCGATGGATCCGGTCGCGGTGTGAGCTAACCGACGGGCCCGGTGCGGCCAGTGCTCGGTGTCCTGCGGTCAGGGAGCCAGCCGCCGCTCGGTGATCTGCACCACGCCCGACGGACACCGCATCGACGACTCGCTCTGCGGCGGCGACCGGCCCAAGATGACCCGCGCCTGCGAGCGGCCGCCCTGCCCGCTGGCCACCACCACCACCACCGCCGCGCCGCCCTGGCAGGACCCGGCAGCCAACAGTATCAACGACTACCGTCACTTCGTGTGGCGCTGGGGCAACTGGTCGGCGGTGAGTGGTCACCAGCAGCAGGGTTTTGCGGCCTTTTGAGTAAGGCTACATCGCATGGTTGAACTAAGCCATATAAGCGTAGTACTACCTGAACGTTAAACTATGTCACAGCTGATAACTTGCGCGCCAAATGGGCACTGGCCCCCTGTTGCGCAGCGTTTGAATTCTTACCCGCCAATCGTCCACTCAGTCTCTACTTGTGGCCTCTCGCTCCAACCTCGGACGCGCGCTCTCGCCTCAGTGTTCCAAGACATGCGGCCTCGGGGTGCACCTGCGCTCGGTGGCCTGCTACAACACGCGCAGCGGCCACGTGCAGCCGAAGCGAGCGTGCCAGCACATCGAACGTCCGATCGAGACTGAGCGGTGTCGGGTCGGCTTCTGTGGCAAGTGGCTGCACGGCGACTGGTCCAAGTGCTCCACCGACTGCGGACAGGTCAGCGGGGTCCCGGTCCGTCGGCCAGGTGGCTGCACACGTCCGCTGTCGCTTCCACAGGTGTACACGGACGCCGTTACTGATGGCCTGTGTAGGATGTGTATTATACATGGGTTTTTTGGCACTACGACAGAAGACTTTCGTGACTGGAATGTGTGTCTCGCCGAAGAGTTTTAACTTTTTACCCGCAACCACTGGGTCCTTTCCATGTTCCCTAATTAAGGGTTTCATTCTTGTCCTATGTGCCTGTCCAGGGTGTCCATTCCCATACCGCTGTGTGCTGCAGTCATTTGCCCTTTCCCCCATATTCCCTCACCACCATGTGCTCTGGTCCTCTGCCCTTTCCCCATATTCCCGTACCGTTGTGTGCCCCAATCCTCTGCCCTTTCCCCATATTCCCGTACCGCTGTGTGCTCCAGCCCCCTGTCATTTCCCTACGTGAGCGTGCCCTTCGATTGTTCTTCGGTGAGTCTCGTCGCTCATCAGCACCAGTACCTGCCCAGCGCACTCTGATCTCTGATCTCTGACCTCTGAGCTCCGACCTCTGAGCTGTGGTCTCTGAGCTCCGACCTCTGAGCTCTGACCTCGGACTCTGACCTCTGAGCGCTGACTCCTGAGTTCCCTGTCGTCAGGGGCTGCGAAAGCGCCAGGTCAGCTGCGTCTCCATCAGCACAAACGCCCGACTGCGGGCGCGCGAGTGCGACAACAGCACGCGGCCGGCACCGCGCGAGGCCTGCCCCTGGGTCGACTGTCCCGGCAGCAAGAGCGCGCTCAGCCATGACGAGCCGAGCAGCGACTGGGTCACCGGCGCCTGGGGCGGCGTGAGTTGCCTTCCTCCCTCCCGTGCGGGGTCGCGTCGAATGCGAGCACGCCCGGGGAGCAGAACTTGGCTCGAGATGGCTTGTCTGGTCTGGGTAAACGTCGGACGTCATGGTTCTGATGCACATTACCGGATGTGTTTGATTCACTTGTTTGTGCTGGAAGCCGATGGGCATTTATGTTTTCGTCGTAATGGTGGAACTGGTCGCGGGATTGTGGAGCCGGTGTCCGCCGAAGCTGCGGCAGCGGTGCGCCGCTGTGCCGCTGCGCTGCGCGTTCGTCGCCTGACGCGCCACGCCGGCCGTGATGCAGTGTTCGCGGACGTGCGGCGGTGGCTTCCAGCAGCGGCAGGTCAAGTGTCGCAGTGGCGAAGGCGCGACCGGCTGCGACCCGAGCACGCGGCCAAAGCCGACCGCCTACTGCAACACTGACCCCTGCCCGCAGTGGAACACCGGCCAGTGGAGCGAGGTAGGCCAGGGGGCGGACCGGGCCTGTGAAGTGGGGCGGGGAAGGGCCAGGGAGAGGCTGTCGAGTAGGGCGGGGCAGGGGCAGAACGGGCATATGGAGTGGGGTGGGGCAAGGGGCAGACCAGGCCTGTTGAGTGGGGCGGGGCAGAGGCAGACCGGGATTGTGAATTGGGACGAGGCAGCGGGCAGACCGGGCATGTGGAGTGGGACCGTGCAGGGGGCAGACCAGACCTGTACAGTTGGACGAGGCAAGGGGCAGACCGGGTCTGTGGAGCGGAGCGGAGCAGGGGGCAGACCGGGCCTGTCGAGTGGGGCGGGGCGGGGCAGACCGGGTCTGTCGAGTGGGACGGGGCCGGGGGCAGACCGGTTCTGTAGAGTGGGGCGGGGCTGGGGGCAGATCGGGCCTGTAGAGTTGAGCGGGGCAGGGAGCACACCGGGCCTGTGGAGCGGAGCGGGGCATGGGGCAGACCGGGCCTGTGGAGTGGGACGGGGAGACCGAGAGAGGAGCGATACGATGTGGCAATGACGGCCGACGAGAAGATCTGACATTGAAATTATGAAAATGCGAATGCCTGGGAAACTGATGCAACACCGAGACCGAGTTTGGCTTGATGCACGCGCCTGCAATCTCTTCGTATACCGCGACGTGCGATTCCGCCATCTGTTAGACGTCACATGCGATTGTCACAAACGTGTGCCACCACGTGCGCCACGTTTAACGCCGCCTCCGCGCGCAGTGCAACGCCACGTGCGGCAGTGGAGCGCGCCTGCGGCGCGTGCGCTGCCAGGACCATCTGGGGCGCATGCTGCCGGACCACAAGTGCAGCTCGACGGGCCGGCCGGCCGACAGCCGCCGCTGCCGGCTGCCCACCTGTCCCAGCTCCCGGCAGGAGGTCCGCCGGCGCTTCAGTTGGCGCGTCTCCCGCTGGTCCAAGGTCAGCGACCGCTCCAGCTGTGCGCCTCGCCGGCAGCTGGCGCCGCGCCACCTCGTGGCGCCTCCCGTGGCTCAGCTGTGTTGGAGTTTGCTTGGCCGCTGTTTTGCATGGTGTGTTTTTGAAGCTGTTCGCTTCTGTGTTTTCCGTGTTTCCTGCCTCCTCTCCGTTTTAAACGTTGACTTGCATCCTCAGCACCGGAAAGAATGCATTAATCTATCACATGGACGGGCATTAATAATGTAGGATGTATTAGTTCATGCACTGCATCGACACTTGTGTTGAATACAACGATGCTTTTATTGCACGGATGGCACTCTTGTAGACTTCTTTTGTCTCTGCCGCCTGCCCAGACACGCATGTAGATTTCGTTCGTCGAGAATGTTATTCCTACATTGATTTGCATACCGATCTCACGGCTTTGGCTCAATTTGCTGTATTCTTATTTTATCAGTTACCTGATGACGTACAGCGTTTACCATCAGATATTCTCCAAATGCGCATGTGGTATAATTTAGCCCAGCCTACCGCATAAAAACGGAAGCAATTGGTCCTGATCGCCGCACCGCTCTTTGGTAACGTGTTTTTGTATTTCACATCCAGAGGGTAAGGCTTGTCTTTTCAGTGCAGCAATGGCCTCAGGAGAACAAAGAGACGCTCATTATCACTGATGTGCACTTTCCTCAAGCCTGCTGAGTTTGGAAGCAATCCGAACGTTGCGTAAGCTGAAGCCGATGCCGTTTTCCCTCCGTCTCCGTCGTGATTGCACTGAAGCTTTGTGGCGTGCCCTGCCACAAATCGCGCCGCGCCGCTCCCTGTTTAGCCGGTGGTTGATCTGTGCTCTGGCTACCGCTATACGCGCTGTGTGTTGCCCAAGGGCACGCGTGATCTACAGTTTTGGCTTGTATGCGTTTGCTGATAGTCCGCTGCAGCACTCTCTCCTCCACCCTTATCAACCCCACGCTGGTAAGCTACGAACTCCTTGCTGGAGAAAAGCTCTAAGGCTTCCTCTGAACATCCGTCCTGGCGTCGTTCCTTTACTTCCCTACAGCGGCATAACCGTCTGCATCCATTCCCTCTCCACAATCACTGTTTTGGCGAGATGTCACGGCCTCTCTGATGCCCGCTACTGTTTTGTCAGCTGATTCGTGCCACGCCGCTTTCATCCTCACGCCTGTCACTATCCTGCCGTTCCCTGTGTGCTTAACACACCCACCACTGCCCTGTGTTCCGGCTGACGTGTGCTCTGCCGCCGCCGCGCTGGTCCCCGCTCTCCGCCGCTGCGGCCCGCGGCGGCTCCCTGTCTATACGCCCGCTGCTGTCCGTGTTTTCAGTGTTCGCAAAGGTGCGACGCCGGGTTCAAAGTGCGCGCGGTGGCTTGCGTGAACGCGGCCAGCGGCAGGACAGTGGCGCACGGCTACTGCACAGAGCGCAAGCCGCGCGCCAAGCGGCGCTGTCGTCGCCGGCCCTGTCCGTTCCGATGGGTGCCGACCGCCTGGTCCGAGGTGATGTCACCCCCGCTCGCTCTTTCTCCCCTCTCCCTTGCTGTTTCTCTCGGCACGGTAGTGACCGCCCGGTGGCGGCGCCTTCTCTAGAGCTGCATGCGGCCGCGCTGCTCTGCTCGGGCGGCGCTCTCGGCACCGTGCCCCGCCTTGGCACCCGTCCCCGTCTGCTTTCCCGGGCTGCGGGCTCGCGCTGCTAACGGGCACGGTGGACGGGTCGGCTTCGACGCCGGTGACATGTCCGCAGCTGTGGTGGTGACGGGTCTGATGCGGCCTCATCAGCACCGGGGACGTGTGGTAGAGCGAGAGGTGGTGGGTGTCTGGCGGCTGATGTTAGCCTCACGGGCTGCGCTGATAGTGTTGCCGGGAACACGGATGGCTGGCTGGATGCCTGGTGGTGACGAGGTGCTCAGTTGTACACGCGGTTTACCGGGTTTGTGAGTGATGGCGCCATAATTATATCAGCGCACACGGATTACGTGGATAAGAACAAGCACCTACCGTTTGCCATCGCCGTGAATGAAGACTACAGTGCGCTGCATGTATACGCAGCCCTGCTGTCCCTTCTGTTGCGTGCCCGCGCGATGCGCTGTGCCTGTGTCTTGCCTGTCATTATCCGCTGGGGAAAATAATGCTTGTTGACCGCGGTGGTGCCTGTTGATCGCGGTGGTGCCTGTCGACCGCGGCGGTGCCTGTTATACGCTGCGGTGTCTGTTGGCCGTGATGGACTTGTTGACCATGGCGGTGCCTGTTGAATGCTGCGGTGCCGGTTGGCGGCGATGGCGTCTGGCTTTCCTGAGACTCACGACGACCGCAGCCCATGTGGGTCTGCTGCGCGGCGAGCATGACCCCGCACTGTGCGGGGTCCGCTGCCGCTCCGTACACATGCGCACAGACCCCGGACGCGGATGGGGACCGGCAGGTAGTGCCGCGTGCATGATGGCATCATCTGGGCCTCAGGAGGGGAATGCCTTGTCTCCGCGCACCGGCCGACTCCGGGCGGCGGCACGGCCCACCGCCGACGGCCACCTGTAGTGCTGTGCGCGACCAGTCCGAACAGAGGCTTTGGGGGTTCGGTGGACGCTGTAGCGTCGCGAGCATCACACCATTCATATGCCAGTGACCTCAGCGCGGCTGCGCACGCTGTGGGGCAGCTCAGCGACGATGGTCCCCAGTTCAAATCTCAGCGAACCTTTGTCTCTGTATGGCTCGTCGTGTAATGTTAGCCCATGTTTACGAAGTCGTTGGTAGGTGAATGAAATGATTGTTGGTGCGGGATCTGTGATGTACTGAGCTCAGGCACCCCCGCATGTGGTACAAATGGCGCAGGCCAGCAGGCTGTTTGCTTTGGTGATAACTCTTGGCTGCTGCCGACACGAGGAAATGCAGGGAAGGGTGCGCATTCAAGCTAACGTCATTCACCACACATACCCTACAGGCTGCACCAGCATGCATACCTCTTAGAGTCTAGTCATACCTAATGACCACTGCACCGGCATGAATGAGATGGGCATGGCAATGCGCAGTGATGTAGAACAAGACGTTGTACAAGTGTTGTCGCATGCTGATGTTTGGGGCCAGTTCAGACGTCATCTGATAAATAGGTTTTCTTCTGTGCTGAATGAACAGGGTTGTTAGAAACCACTGTGCGTGTTCGCGCCTTAATTATTTCACCGGGTGTCTTTATTCGTTTTTCCCGTTACTTCCTCTTTAAATGCTCTCCCTCTCTATCCCTCCCTTTCCCTTTCTCCCCGTCCCCTCTCTCCCTGTTCCCTCGTTTCTCCATTCCTCCGTTCTCCCTCCGTTCGCCTCTTCGTCCCTCCGCTCCCCCATCCCTCCCCCCTTATCGCTGACCGTGGTTCGTGGCGGCGGCGGTCGCCACTCCGCGCCGGGCGCGTGTCCGGGTACTTGTCAGCGGGAGGGGCTGACGCGTGCCGCGCTGGGTGCGGACGGCTGGGTGACAGAGCGCATGGGCCTCGTGCGGCGCGCGGACGCCAGTGCTCCAGGTCGTGCGGCTTGGGCGTGCAGTACCGGCAGCTGTCCTGCCACCGACTCAACATGTTCGGTTGGCTCGACCCGGAGCCTGCGGCCGCCGCGCTCTGCCCGCCCGCTCGCCGGCCCCGCTCGGCGCGCAAGTGCCACCGCTCCTGCTCCGCCCGACACCGCTGGAAGGCCGGGGAGTGGTCCCAGGTGGGTGGGCGCTGACTGAAGCCGCGCGCCGCGCCGGCCGCCCGCCCTGGGCAGGGTCACCTGGCGAGACAGTGTGCAGCGGCTGCTGTACAGTGGTGGCGGCGCGAGCTTGTCGAGGCGCATTTGTGTAGACGCGTGGGATGGTGTATTTTGACTGCATGTTTGCTCGTTGCGGTGTAGGTGCAGGGAACGCGCAACAGGCGAAGTCTTACCCATGCCTGTTTTCAGCCGTTGCGAACGAATGCACATCAACGGCCGAGTAGGTTGGTGCCGTTTGTCGAGATGTCTTCGCATGTCACACTGTCCGTTTATGACGCCGCCTTTTTGCGCCGCTTCGTTGTATTTCTGCGGTCGGTGCATATTAGACTCATTTTCACCAGCGGAGCGTATATTTGGCGTGTTGGTGTATTTCGCGATCATGAATTTGGTGATACATATTACCTGATGTTCGTATTGTCTTTTTGAGCATGTTCCCATCACGCTCTTGGTGTTGTGGCTGTCACAAGAGCGAGTTGTCCGTCGTCCGTCACGACTTCTTCACTTTGTATCTATTGAACGCATGTTGGAATCGTCGCATGCATTTTGAGTGTCCTGTACCTATATTTTCCGTCTTCCCGAGTTTGTATGGAGGCGAAAGTTATCCCCCTAGTGGCATGCGCTATTGTTCATGGTTGTGTTGCAAGTCCTAGTAATTGGGCTGATGCATCCTCGTGGAGCAGCACAGGAAGGTGTAATGACGTCCGCAGCGACGGACACGGTTGACAGTGAACACGTTTGCGGCCATCTACAGCCATTACAACCATCATCTGCAGCAGTCTACAGCCGCTCACAGTCATGCACAACCCTTACAACCATCATCTACAGGAGTCTGCGGCTGCTCGCAGTCATGTACAGCCATTACAACCATCATCTACAGAAGTTTGCAGCCGCTCACAGTCATGTACAGCCATTACAACCATCACCTACAGCAGTCTGCAACCGCTCATAGTCATGTACAGTCATTACAGCCATCATCTACAGGAGTCTGCAGCTGCTCACAGTCATGTACAGCCATTACAACCATCATCTGCAGCAGTTTGCAGCCGGTCACAGTCATGCACAGTCATTACAACCATCATCTACAGCAGTCTGCAGCCGCTCACAGTCATGTACAGTTATTACAACCATCATCTACAGCAGTCTGCAGCCGCTCACAGTCATGTACAGCCATTACAACCATCATCTACAGCACTCTACAGTCGTTCACAGTCATGTACAGCCCTTACAACCATCATCTACAACACTCTACAGTCATTCACAGTCATGTACAGCTCTTGCAACTGTCATCTACAGCAGTCTGCAGCCGCTCACAGTCATGCACAGCCATTACAACCATCATTTACAGCAGTCTGCAGTCGTTCATTCATGTACAGCCCTCGTGAAGTCATGTCGCCATGTCCTCACGTGATTTAACCCAAACCCTTTTATTTGCTTGCAATAGCGTCCATGTCTGCAAATTAAGGCGGAGATGTCGGCAGAGCAACTGCCGACTCCATCACCCAACCCTTTTATCCCCATATGTCGCCCTCCCTCCCTCCCTGCCTACCTCTCCGGCTTATCCTGATGCAACCTTTTCCCCCGCCAGGTCACCCTGCCCTGACGCCTTTCTCCCAACGCACCCTGAATTGAATAATCTCTCTCTGGGGTCCAGCCTGACCTGACCGGCCCCTCTGGCCCGCCCCGAGCCGGCCGCTCCTGTCCTGCCCCCGCTCTCTGGGGTCCAGCCTGACCTGACCTGCCTATCTCTGGCCCGCCCCGAGCCGGCCGCTCCTGCCCTGACTCCCGCTCTCTGTGGTCCATTCTGACCTGACCTGCCTATCTCTGGCCCGCCCCGAGCCGGTCACTCCTGCCCTGACCCCGGCTCTCTGGGGTCCAGCCTGACCTGACCTGCCTATCTCTGGCCCGCCCCGAGCCGGTCACTCCTGCCCTGACCCCGGCTCTCTGGGGTCCAGCCTGACCTGACCCGCCCCTCTCTGGCCCGCCCCGAGCCGGCTGCTCCTTCCCTGCCCCCGCTCTCTGGGGTTCAGCCTGACCTGACCTGCCTATCTCTGGCCCGCCCCGAGCCGGCCGCTCCTGCCCTGCCCCCGCTCTCTGGGGCCCAGCCTGACCTGACCCGCCCCTCTCTGGCCCGCCCCGAGCCGGGTGCTCCTACCCTTCCCCCGCTCTCTAGGGTCCAATCTGACCTGACCTGCCCCTCTCTGGCCCGCCCGAGCCGGCCGCCCCTGCCCTGACCCAGCTCTCTGGGTCCGCAGTGCTCCGAGTCATGCGGCCGCTACGGGCTCAAGAACAGAACGGTTCGCTGCATGAACGCCAGGGGCAAGCGGGTGTCTCGCCGCCACTGCCTCAAGTCGGAGCGGCCGCGGCGCCGCAAGCGGTGCAACCGGCGCCCCTGCGGACCTCTCTCCTGCGCGGAGGTGGGTGCTGCTCTCGCTCCCTTCTGCGCCCGGGTGGACGGGATTGGTCCGCTCTTTTGCCGAGATGGCTGGTGCTTTTTGCGCCTTTGGTACTCTCCAGCTCTTGCGCAGAGGTGGGTGGCATTCCTGTTCCTGTCCAGAGCTTGAATCAGCACTGAATCAGGTATCCTGTGCTGAAACGGGATATCCAATCTCCCCCAGTTACTTGTGCCGAACCAGTGAGTATTGCCCGTAATGTGATTGCATCCCTGGTTCCCGATGATGCCTTAGTCTGGTTCATGGGCTCACGTAATACTTTTGAGCGTCACAAAGTATCATCCCGATTTCATGTCGAGTTGTATACCTGTGTATCAGGTCTGGTTGGAAAGGTCACCATGTGGTTTGAAAGCTTGGTTAGATGTGGTCGTCATGAGGTCAGACGGTTTGCCGTGCACCATCTGCTAACTTCAACGTGTGCCGGCCGCGCCACCTCAGGTTCGGGAGAAGCGCCGGCAGCTGTCGGACGGCGAATACTACCTGATGGTGGCCGGCGCCAACATCTCCATCTACTGCCACGGCATGAACGGCTCGCAGCCGCCGGTCGAGTACCTCACCCTGCCGTCCAAGCCCAACGACTTCTACTCAAACTTCGCCGAGATCGACGAGAAACGGTGGGCACCTGGTGGCGGCACTGGTGGGGCCGGAGCAGCGCCCCATAGAGAATGATCTCAAGCGGAACTCTTTCCTGCAGCGGAGAGAGCTGTGAATTCATTGCTGCAGCTGTCATACGTTATTCTGTTCCGAATGTCCCGTATTGACGTCTTGAATGTTCTAAATTCATGGCGCATTGTCTGTTCCTATCGATGCATCAGCTTCGGCGGCTAGGCACGCGCCGCATAATGTTGTAGAAAATCGTATCTGCGCAATCTTTGCTTCCTCAGCGCAGTTCAGTGCTTATACAACCATGCTTATTTAGATGCTCGATCTGCAAAAAAAAACGTCAGGTTCTTATGCAGATCGACTTGATCTTATCACGTCAGGTGGTCCTATAAAACACAAATCACGTCAGGTCGTCCAAGAAGACGTGATGACGTGATGTGATCACGTCAGGTCGCCCTACAAAACAGCCTCTGAACTGGTTTTCCGTTTCGTCTGATCGTCTGTCTGCAGCAAAAGAAATGACCCGCTGTGTATGTGCTCGCTGTCCCCAGCCTGCTGAACCCGGAGACGTGTCCCTACAACGGCAGCCGCGTGAGCAGCGCCCGCTGCCGCAAGTGTGTCCAGTCTCGTAGCCCGCACGCCGGCCTGACCGTGTTCACCAGGGTCCGGCTCAACATCACCTCCCTCAACATCATCCGTGAGCACGGGCCGCGGCCGGCACCACGAATGGCACGAACGTGGCGCGTGTAGGTCGCCGTAGCGGTGCCGCCCTTTGCAACGCTGGGAATCTGAGGCGCCTTGGACGAGCCAAGGAACTCTGTGCCGTGCCTCCATGCTTATTTCACATCGCTCAGTCGTGCGCCATTTTTCTTTTTCTGCATTGTGGCGTTACATACACGAATTCCAGAGCTCAAACTCTAGCTCGCGCCTATTGCTTTCAAACAAGCTTTTTAGTTGGTGGCTCCGTCACTGCGCTCTGTCACGCTCCCCGGCAGCACCGGCAACATTAAACTCAATTGGCTTTGCGCAGTCCGTCAGAGCCCTGTTTACATTATGCTGTGTTCGTGCCCCCCCCCCCCCCCTAGGCCCCCTTCTACTGAGACCATCACGTCTTCCGGCAGCGCGCGACTTTTCGTTCGCGCAGCAGCGGCGCGGACGACCAGTGCACTTCGGTGAGGCCGGCGACTGCTACTCGTCGTCCGGCTGTCCGCAAGGCAGGTTCGGCATCAACCTGAGCGGCACGGGCCTGCGCGTGGCCTCCACCACAAACTGGGTCGGTGTCGGCAACAAGCCCACCGTTCGCATCACCAAGAATAGGGTGAGCTGTGCGCGAGCGCGAGCGCGGGCGGGGCGGCGTGGTGCAGCGCGGTGTGGTCAGGAGAGGGACCGCTAGGTCTTACGCGCCGGTGTAAACTTCCGGTACCGCGTGCTCAGCCCATGAAGTAAAAATGTCCGCCGAGTCGTTGAGCAATGCGTGATTAGTTGCAGATAGCGTTCTGTCACGGTGGTCACGATAGGTCAGTGACAAGCAAACGCGTGGTCAAGGTGAGTACTCCCATGTTCTTGATAAGTATGGAAAACTAACCAACACCTGCGTTAAGGTAGGTCCAAGGACTCCGATAAAGGGCATGTCTTCTTGTCTTCAGCACCAGCCTACTATGCTTACCGTGAGACCTTTTGCAGTCGCAGTATTCCACGTGACCGCTTATTTAGAGCCGGCCGCCTTACCCGGCTGCGCGTCCCTCTGACCTCGCGCGGTGCTGCTGACCTCGCAGGACCGGACAGTGGTGAAGGGCACGTGTGGCGGCTACTGCGGCACGTGTCGCGCCGATTCGCCTGGCGGCATAAAACTAGACGTCGCGCCCCCCTGACCTCCAGGTGAGCCCGTGCACAAGCGCGTCCCAGCTTCCACGTGTCGGCCCTGGCAATGCCCCGGTACGGGCTGGTCTCGCTGATTTCGCCCTGTCACCCCAGAGTCTTAAGTCTTGTGTTCCCGGCAGGCTTTCACCTGGGCCGATCGGACGACGGCGCCGGAACACTCAGTGCTCCTTTTGATGGCATGATAGGGCTCAGGTCACGTGAAAACAAAATATTGTCAGCAAAGAAAAGTTTCACAGTGCACTTTCCATGATGAGTTCATGGTAGTCACATTGAAAATGCTTTGTTTGCGATGGAAGCGCTCTGCTTGCGAATAAAGCTGTTGGAACCGTACCCATATCCGTGGTGCGGCTCGCAATGACCCCCCCCCCCCCCCCCCCACCCATCCCCCCAGGGCTGTAGCGGCAATTACCGGTCTTTCATCTGTACATACCTCGCGCACATCTCACCGTTAGAGGAGCGCCTAGTCACGCGCCGACGACGGCGGCCCACGCCGCGGCCGGCAGCTACCCACCCCTCGCCCGGCGGGCCGCCGAGACTGAGAGAGGCGGGGCGCGCCGCGCCGCACTGCCCCGCCGTCCCGCCTCCCGGGTGCTGCGGCGCCTCCGGCGTGGTGGCGCCTTCGGTGTGGCGGCGCCCCCGTGTGGCGGTGCCCTCGGTGTGGCGGCGCCCCCGGTGTGGCGGCGCCCCCAGTGTGGCGGCGCCCTCGGTGTGGCGGCGCCCTCGGTGTGGCGGCGCCCCCCATGTGGCGGCGCCCTAGGTGTGGCGGCGCTCCCGGTGTGGCGGCGCCCCGGTGCTACGGCGAGGAGAAGCTGCGCCGCGTGCCGACGGACCGGTGCGCCGCGCGGACCCAGCCCACGACCAGCCGCCTCCGCGCGCTCGAATCTCATTGTGACGTCGTATCACTGCCAGTGGAGCTAGTCAGCGGCAGATGGCGCTGCGGCGACGGGTGGCGGTGCGGCAGTACTCGAGTGGCCCGCGGCGCGGCGGCGGAGGTGACGGGCGCGCCCCGCCGCCCGTTGACGGCCAGCTGGTGGATCGGTGTCGTGTCATGTACCATCACATTCTCTAACTTATCTCGGCTTCGCCATGCGCTTTGTCCATAACGCTGCATAGGCCGTCAGCTGCCGCGCCACGCTGGTGCTGAAACCGCCGCTTTTGGCGACGTCGGCCGCGCGTGCGGCGCGCATTTCGGGCCGGCGGCCGGCGCTCCGCGTCTGCGAGACGCCGGCCCCGCCTGTGCCGCGCCCGCTGCCCGCGCCAGGTCTTCTGCGTGCCCGCGCGCCGAACCGATAACTGCCATACGACTGTGCTGTGGACCATGCCGCTGTGGCCGGCTGTACTCCCGCCCTGCTTCAGTACGGGAGGGGACTCGCGCTGCCGCCTCTACTGAGGCCAGACGCAGTAATATATGTAAGGTGTCTGCATGGTACGTTCGACTGAGAGGAAGTGCGAGATGGAAAGGATCGGAATAGGAGACGCGCATCACGGCCCTTCTGGCGAAGGTTTCTGGTATTGTTCGAAATCTGCCATCAAAGCTAGCGGCCCAGAGCCCTTCGACGATGCAAACATCTAGCAAACATCCTTGCTCCAAACGTCAACCTGTTGGTGATTTCTGGAGGGCCTGGAGGTGGTCTGGATACGCAGAATCTCCAGCCCGGGTTCCCGAGCAGCTTGCGCGCAGGGTGTAAATGTAAACTCCACTGACCTGGCTCAACCTAAAGGCATAGAAAACGATCGGTAACTAATTCAAAACGCGCTCTGGGTCTATTGTCACCATGTTTTACAGATGCACAGTAGTTCCCAAAGCCCAGGCGATCACACTAGTCCCGTCGCGGCCAAAGCGGCGCACGTCTGGTCCGGGCGCAGTACATCGCGTCTCCCCGTCAGTCACACAGCCCAAAAGTGACGCAGGCGCAGCTACCGATCACTTGCCTTCAGTTCGAAATGGGCGTCGACGCGCCAGCTACGTGCTTGAACCAGCCCCGCCCGCTGACAACGTGGTGTCCCAATGCTCTGGGGGCAAGCCCGACGCCATTCGGAGAGAATGCTACCTTGAACCTGGCTAGGGACGACGCACGGCCTGACCTGCCGCGCATGCCGCACGTGACGACCCTGGCCAGGTTGACATCACAGGTGCACAATCAACGTGTATTTTGGCATATCCAGGTAATCTCTCCCCAGGGAGCGGTGCGACTCGGACGGCGCGCGGCGGGCCCGCCGCCCGCCACTGTCCGCTCACACTCGCACACACGCCAATACTGAATGCCCTGCTGGGCGACGCTCGTGACCAGAGCCTGATATGGCAGCCCGGGCCCGCACCACACCGGCGCGGCGCGCGTCCTGTCCTGCGTCCACGCGCGCTCGCGGCCACTACACAAGCCCTGCCGACGGCGGCGGCGGCCGGCACAAACGACGAAAAGCGGTAACCAAGGTCGGGTCGGACTCGCACTACAGGAATGATATCGGCGGCGCGGCGGCCGCGCGCGCCGGCGCCTCGCGCGGCGGAGATTTCTCTAGAGGAGGGGGCGGCGCTGTAAGCTCGGCGGGCGCATATCACAGGGCGCGCGGCGCGGCGCCGCCCGCCGGCCGGCCGCGCCGCTAGGGCGGCACGTACGGCGGCGGCTGCCGGTAGTTGGGCACGGGCTTGGCGCGGCCGCCGCGACCAGCCTCGGCCCCGGCCAGCGGGGGCGGCCGTTCGTACGGCGTGTCCTCGCCGCCGCCGCCGGCTGCCTCGCCGTGCTCGTCCAGCATCGGCGTAGCCGGCGACGGCGCGCCATCGGCCGGGTAGGTGGGCGGTTCGGGCGGCCGCTCGTGCGTCAGGATCACGGGCGTCTTGGCACTCTTCTCCATGCGGTCCTCTAACTCGTCGGAGAAGATGACGGGGATGCCGCGGCTGACGTACGTGCCGTTGTCGGTCATGGTCATCTTGCCGCGCCGGCGCGCGCGGTACAGCACGCACGCCACCAGGCCGGCGATCAGCAGCATAGCGGCGATCACCACGGCCGGGATGATGAACGTCACTAGGTACTCGTCGCCCTTGCTCTCGGGCGCCTGCTCGTCCAGCGGGCCTGGCGCGGCCGCGGGCGGCGCCGCCGCCGTGGTCGGCGTGCGCCGCGCCAGGCAGATGCCGCGCGGCGTCACCTCGGCCGCCGTCAGCCGGAAGTCGGGCCCGAGCGCCTGCACGGCGCGTGGCGTCACCTGCTGCGCGTCGTCCAGCAGCGCCTCGCGCAGCGCGTGGATGTCGGCGTCGGCGCACTCGTCCGTCGGCAGCGATTCGTTGAACCAGGAGAAGACGACAGAGCCCTCGCGGATGTCGTGCACCAGCATGGCGTCTGTGTCGCCGTCGCCGAGAAGCTCGGCCAGCTTCTCCATGAGCCGCTTCTTCTGCATGGGGTCGCGGCTGAACTTGCGGAAGTCGTTGTCGAGCGTGACGCCGAACTCGACCGTGTGCTGTTTGGCGTCGTCGCGCGGCTGCACCACCACCTCGATCGAGTCGGACACCGTGAGGCCGCCGCTGTCGATGCACTCCTGCCAGACGGGAGCAGCGTCATACAGAGCCCATGTGCAGCAGCGGCGCCCGCACAGACACAGCACGAGCATCGGACGGCAGCCAGACCGAAACACAGCGTACGGTACGACACGGCAGCGACCCACGTCATCGTCGTCACCAGCTTGACCGGTGCCGTGCTGCGACCTCCTGCCGCGGTACGTTTGGGGCAGCGTATCTAACGGAATTCGAGCATGACAATACAATTCGGACGCCAAAGACACCACGCAGCGACACGACCACTAGCAGTATTACAGCCAGCACAACACCTCGAGCAATCTCCGCCGCCATGCCACCTACGAGCTTCCGCCTGCTCGGTGACCACCGCACTGCGTCGGCGAGCAGGGTGGTAGTGTGAGCCTCACCAGGTGGTAGTGCGAGCGTCCCACGTCCTTGTCCAGGGGCAGGCCGATGAACTCCTGGTTCTTGGGCTCGAAGCGGAGCCAGCTCTCGCGCGGTACCAGCTGACGCTCGCTGGTCAGCAGGCGCAGCTCCATCTCGCGCGCGTTGCCGTCCTCCATGTCGAAAAACGCGTCCGCCGGCACCTGCGGGGAGAGCGGGACGGTCACGGCCGCCGTCTCCGGTCACTGGGCGGAGCATGCGCAGCTCGTCCCACGGCAACAGAGGTGGCAGCTGTCGCACCGAACGAGGCGTGCGACTGAGATGGAGACGGTGCGATCGCGAGTCGCCGGCGCGTCGGTCGAGAGCGGGGGCGACGGTCCGGACCGACGCCACCAGCCCACGTCTGGTGACGTCCTTCCCACGGCCCACGGACTCGGCCGCAGCCGTCTGAAGTGGTCACCAGTTACACCACGAGATGCTGCTGGCAGGCCGGGGACTCAGGACCGCCATTGGAGCGAACGCGGCGCACCCCGGTCTGCACTTCAACAACCCGGCAAGACGGCCACCGGCCAGTCTGAAGACCTGCTGCGCGCCCGCCGGCAGTCGGAGAACCCTGCTTCCGAGCACTCGCCTGCTGTTTGAGCAGCCTGCCGACGCTGGCCGTGATCCGGTCAACGGGTTGGCGCCGGATGGGCGGCACGTTCTGGTCCGGCTCCTCGGTGGCCGGGGTGGGCACCGACGTCAGCAGCACGCCGTGGCACACGTTCAGCAGCTCCAGCCGCACGCGCTGCGCGCCGAACTCGGGCGCCAGCACCTTGCGCAGCTCGGCTGTCGGCTCGCCGTTCTTGCCCACCAGGTGCTGCGGAGCACGGCAGGCTGGTGACCGGGAGCGGGCGCGGTGTGACGAACATACCGACGGGAACACGCGGCAGGGTGCTGAGGAAGACGTCACTGGGACATGGCGTGTCGACGAGACAGCACGATCCTCAACCTGTGAGCCGTGCTGAGGGTGGTGTCAGGGTTAAGGTGTCGCTCTCGTCATGAACAGCACGCGCTCGAGACACAGCACCGTGCCGGTTTGGATCACATCCGACGTCTTCACGTCGTCCGGTTATCGCCAGTCAGCCATGTCGCGGGCCTCACCGCTGTTTAACATCACGCCTGCCTCCCGGTTAAGAGAACCAGGAAGCCATCTTCACATTTGGAACAGCTGACTGGTCGGCCGAGTCAGGCCAGAAAACAAGCCCTCATCTGTCCAAACGCTGGGCACGACGCCGCCTCCCTCAAACACTCGAAATCACACTTCCTAAACATACAATAGAAGACTATGCGAACCAGCGGCTACAGACGAAACCATAACACGGCAGCGGGCCGCACCAGCTGTCTAGCATAACGTAAGCAGACGCGCCCCCCAGCCGTCACGCGAAGCACATGCCGTTGAAGCGGACGGGATGGCATTCGTCGCGGGACCGCTCGGGAACCAGACCGCTGCAAATCCGCTGTATCCGAGCCACAGCCGTGAACGTTTGCCGAATCGACGCTCAGATTGGGGACCACACATGCGATTGGGTCAGGGCGATAAATATTTAACGGAGTCCGTCGCCACCGGCCGTCCCGATCCTCGATCAGAGGTCAGCTGGCCGCCGCCATGTTTATTAGGCTGTAGCGACACGGCAAACCAGGACGGCGCACTATGAGCGGCCGGCCGCCGAGGGACGGGGCCGCCTCCAGCCTGGTAACGGACTGGGGGGAGGCCCGGACAGGGTGCGCGTCCAGCCGTTGGCGGACCGGTGTGGAACAGCGTGCGCAGACGGGTGGGGAAAGGGAGGCGGGGGAGGGGCAAACTATGCAGGGGGGACCTGCGCAATACAGGCACGAATAAAACGCAATGTAAGACGACGAGACGAAGACTCAAAACAATGCAAGGAAGATGCCGGCCCACGCACAGCCAGCGCGCGTGAGGGACACCGGACGTACCGAGGCGATGCGCGAGAGGGCGAGCTGGTCGCAGCGGTGCGTGCTGATGGTGTCGTTGACCCAGGCGATGCGGACGGAGCCGCCGAGCATGGCACGCACGTCGTACACCAGCAGGCTGGAGGTGGAGGTCTGGCCGAACATGTCTGCCAGCTTGCGCAGCAGCAGGAGCTCCCAGTCCACCTGCGCGGCCGACGACACACGGGTGCGGCGGTGACGCACGGTACCATCCGACCGCTGCGTGTGCGGCTGTGTACCACGCGGACGGGCGAGCAGCTCGGCGATATTTTACACTTTGAAAATAGAGCGCAAGCCATAGGAAAACTGAACGGGACCTTAAACTGACAACGCCTTCGATAACGCGAACGCGTGCTTTAGCAATGCCATACGACGTGGCCACTCAAGTTCCAACACGCGCACTTCCTTAAGTTCTTCACTACTTTGAATACAACAAAACGTGACGTCCCACACAAACCTACTGAAATCAGCCAGTTATCACTGGCAACGCGAATGCAGCATCAGCAAAGACCATCACACTCAGGCATCGACCCGTGACACGCGGTCAGTCTCCGGCGCGCGCCGCCGTCTCCGCCGCTGACCGTGACGGGGAAGTCGCGCGGACGCAGCATCTTGAGTTGCAGGTGGAAGCGGTGGTTGATGGCGCGCCACTGCTGGTAGAGCCGCACGGCCACAGCCAGCTGGTCGGACGCCGAGGCGCCCTCCGCATCCATCGCGGTCAGCTCGAACTGGTACTCGCCGATGTGCTCCTCTTTGGGCCTGCCGACGAGGGGAGCGGCGTCGGGGGCGCGCGCGGACACGGCTCGCCGCTGCGGGACCGGCCGCCAGGGGTTACTCACGCAAGCCGCGTCTGAAAGAGACGTCCCCCACCTACGCTCCGGAGCCGAATCTGAGCTTGAGTCGGATCTGCGCTCCCCTTGCCGATCCCACACATAGCGAGACATTCCCACGGGTGACGTGGCAGGCGCTCTGGGCTGCGCTGACCCCCCCCCCCCCTCCCCCCTTCCTTCCCCCTCCCTCCCTCCCCGCAGTCAGACTGAGAAGCTCTCGCAGGCCGCAGCCCACGCCCACAACCGCGCCCGCTCGCTCCACTCACAGGCCGTAGATCTCCTGCTTCGCGGCATCGAACTGGATCCAGTCCGAGTCGTCCAACTCCTGGCCACTGGTCTTCTTCAGCGAGAGGTGCAGCTGGCGCGTGCCGCCCGACTCCAGGTCCTGGAACGTCTCCTCGGGTACGCGCAGCCGGAACTCCTTGCCGGCCACCAGCAGCAGCTTGCGCATGCGCCGCTGCAGGAGCGGCCTGAAGTTGCGCGCGCCCACGGAGATCGTCTCTTCGCCGGGTGGCAGCGGCACGGACGGCGTCACCAGCACACCGCCCGGCAGCCGGGCCGTCGCCTGGCGGCCGCGCAAGCGTCAGCCGCTCAGCGGCGAGAAGGCTTCATAGCGGCTAGGAGGCGAACATTAGCTACAACACGCGCGGGCACACAACAGTGGAGAATGCGGCTCTCTGGGGACATGTCGGCGGAGGACATGACGGATGGGCGCCCGCAGATGTGAGAATGCATCGATGGGTAGATGAGCGTGCTTACAGACAACACCTCGAGTCATCACGATCATACCGATTCCCTATCACCATGATTGGTTACAATAGATCGCGATGTCGGTGACGACCTCTCAACCCAAGACGTCACAGCCTTGTCACCGGCCGGCGCGTTGGCCTCAGCCATGTATGCAGCCATGTTGGCCTCAGCCATGTTGGCCGATCTGGCGCTCTCCCTGGCGCTCGGCAGTCAGAGGCCCGCCCGCCGCCGCCAGCCCCGCCCACAGCCGGCTGGCCGCCAGTGACGGTGGTCGTGGCGAGCCAGCCGGCGCCGCCGCCAGCGCTGGACCTCACCTCGACACGTCCGCCGGGGGCGTTCATGGACGACTCGAGCCCGCTGGTCTCGCGCGCCGGCGGCCACAGCGGCCCGTCGTCCGTGCGGCTGGGCTGCAGCGAGTCCGGATAGTACCGCGTCGGCACCGCTGCCACCTGCCGGGCCCGCCACACGGCTGCAGTCAGAGCGACGCCGCGCCACACGGCTGCAGTCAGGGCGACGCCGCGCCACACGGCTGCAGTCAGAGCGACGCCGCGCCACACGGCTGCAGTCAGAGCGACGCCGCGCCACACGGCCGCAGTCAAAGCGACGCCGCGCCACACGGCTGCAGTCAGAGCGACGCCGCGCCACACGGCTGCAGTCGGAGCGACGCCGCTCCACACGGCTGCAGCCAGAGGGACCCGCGCCACACGGCTGCAGTCAGAGCGACGCCGCGCCACACGGCTGCAGCCAGAGGGACCCGCGCCACACGGCTGCAGTCAAAGCGACGCTGCGCCACACGGCTGCAGCCAGAGGGACCCGCGCCACACGGCTGCAGTCAGAGCGACGCTGCGCCACACGGCTGCAGTCAGAGGGACCCGCGCCACACGGCTGCAGTCAGAGCGACGCCGCGCCACACGGCTGCAGCCAGAGGGACCCGCGCCACACGGCTGCAGTCAGAGCGACGCTGCGCCACACGGCTGCAGTCAGAGCGACGCCGCGCCACACGGCCGCGGTCACAGCGACGCCGCGCCACACGACAGGAGCGGCGGCGCCCAGCGCTCACACAGTCGCAGATAGACGCGCTGTGCTCACAACCGCCCGGACACGGCGACGTACCGGGATCGGAGTGCTGACCCGCGGCCAGACGGCGGAGGCCGTGACGCGCGGCGGCGGGTAGGCGGGCGACGCCGGCGGCCCGGAGAACGTCGGCGACGCCAGCGGCGGCACCACGTGCGTCACCGGGTCGCCGTAGTCGTAGTTGTCGTCGTAGTTGTAGTCATAATCGTCATCGCCGAAGTCTCCAGAGCCGTCCACCTGTTGGCAAGGTGTAGTCTGGAGACGTGTCGGACGGCTCGCAGCACGGCGGCGCAGCGAGGGGGAGGGGGGGGGGGGGGCACACCGAGCCAGAGTCCCGCAACACAGCGAACTACAGCGAGAGCGGTTAACCGCTGTTGGCCGATCGCCACAGGGTGCCGAGACCACACCGCTGCGTGATGCGGACAACACGAGGACAACAAACAGAGACCGCACACCAGCAGCATAGAACCGAAGATTGCCGGCTGCCGGCGAGCGTCGATCGGAGCCTCACCTGTCTGCGGTGGAGGGCGGAGCCTCACCTGTCTGCGGTGGAGGCCGAAGCCTCACCTGTCTGCGGTGGAGGCCGGAGGCCCACGTGTCTGCGGTGGAGGCCGGAGCCTCACCTGTCTGCGGTGGAGGGCGGAGCCTCACCTGTCTGCGGTGGAGGCCGGAGCCTCACCTGTCAGCGGTGGAGGTCGGAGCCTCACCTGTCTGCGGTGGAGGCCGGAGCCTCACCTGTATGCGGTGGAGGCCGGAGCCTCACCTGTCTGTACTGGCGGCCGGAGCCTCACCTGTCTGCGGTGGCGGCCGGTCGGCTGCCGGGCGTACATCAGCCAGCCGACGGCCGGTCGGTCGGCGGCCGCTGCCAGCCGCTCCATGCGCAGGTCTGCCTGCACTGCCTGCACGGAGCGCCGCCGGTTCGGGTGCACCTGCTCCGAGCAGCCCACCTGTCGGGACGGGCGGAGGTGAGAGGCGCGGCGGCCGGTGCCGCAGCGGGAGAACCGGCTCGGCCGTCTGACTGGTTTATCATGTCCCAGTGGGCTTCGGTGGGATAAGCTAGGCAGCTACCTGGACAGCTCTGGAGCACTTACTCCTGCGCGAAACCTGACACTATGTCCTGGCAGCAAACCTTCGTGCCGGAGGGTTGCAACATCATTGCCGGGGTATGTATGGCAAACAAGTGTCAATATAGAATGTGGCATAACGTATGCGCAACAGAACAATAAACAATCAAAAACTAAAAGCCCTACGCAGGGCGACGAGATGGGAATTAGAGAAACACCGAAGATATGCAGCATTGCCGTATAGCCTCCCCATAAAATGACCTCTGCAGCCGAAGCGCCCGGAAAATACGCCAACAAAGCTTGTCCAGTTACCTTCCACGAGAAGACGGTGAGCTGGCGGGACTGTCTGGTGTGGCTGCCAGCGCCCGCTTCCAGCACGCTCTCATCCTCCAGAGGCATGGCACCGCTGTGCGACGTTACGTGCATCACCTCCGGCTCCACGTGCACGGCCGCTGTCGAACGCGTCAGCCATGACGTCACAAGGCATGTCAGCAGGGTGGCGAGCCGAGCCGATCCGGCAGGTGTGCAGTGACTGTGCGCTCGGTGCGGCGCCAGAAATAGCGCGCGCTTATGACGTCATTGGCGTCTTCATCCCCATCTGAGGCATGAGGGTCCCCATCTGAGGCTCCTGCCCAATGTGACATCAGCCCTCCGGCCCGCAGTCTCGGCTGCGGTGTCACTCACCGGCCAGTGCCCGCAGCATGCGCAGGCGCGCAGCGCCATCCAGCGTCTGCGGCGCGACGTCGAAGTACAGAGCGACGACGGTGGAGGCGCTGCCATCGGCGCAGCTCAGCTCGCCGCTGTCCTCGTCCCAGTCCAGCGGCGCGCCGGCGTGCCCCGAGTCTGCAGCAGACGCGTGGCAGGTCAGCCTCGGCCGAACGCGCCACACCACTCTAAAACGGATCCAGCAGCGCGCGTGCACGCACGCACGCACAGCATCCCAGCCCTCGCATCCCTGAATCCCTCGCACAAACGGAACATCCGGCCATGGATCAAAACACATTCGAACGTTAGCCCAAAAAATACTGCGTGCAGCCACCCACCCGTAAGTTCTGTATCAGCTGCAGCAATCGTCCAACGCATACCAGACTGCAACTTGCATTTGACACCGACCGACCCTACCCCGCGGCCGCCGGTGCCAGGCACCACAAAGGTTTGACGAGCAAAGTGAGTGGAGGTGGGTGGGAGCGGGGGGGGGGGGCTGTCAGCTCGGGTGCGAGTCACCGCAGTTCAATGAGTCACCCAATGTGGACGAACCACACAGCCGACCGTGTGCTGCGTCGGGTTCGCAGCAAACACGACGTCACCTACCCAAACCCTGGTATCATCGCAGCGGGGCCCCGTCGCGGCACTTCCGCAAGCGCGGCCGCGCCAATCCCGCCCAGGTGCGGCGGGTTTGCCCCGGCAACGTCAGCCGACCACCGGCGGCCGGGTGCCCGCTGGCGCCGGGCCCACTGGCACACGGCGGACGGGCCGGGCCGGGCCGGGCGGCCACCGCATCCACTCACCGCTCTCGAGCACCACGTCGACCATGAAGCGGTCCTTGGCGCGGCTGTGCGGGCGGCGGCCGCGTGCCGTCACGGTCACCAGGTGCGGCCCCAGCTCGGCCGGCAGCGGCACGCCGGTGAAGGCGCGCGCGCCGGCGTCGAACGTCAGCCAGCCGGGCAGCGGCGCGTCGGCCGTGGCGCCGCCCACCTGAGAACGGGCGGCAGACGGCCGTCAGACGGCGCACACGTGCGGGGCGTCCGCCGACCGACCGCCGACGGAGCACCGACAGGCATCGGGCGTGATCAGGCGGCGGCCCTCGGCATATACGTGTAAACACTCGTCGCCCCAGCCAGTGTGGCGGGCGCGAGACAGCGACACAACACAAACAATCGGAACACTTGCTACAGCACGGGACGGCATGCGCACTTGCTCCGCCGACAACAACCGTCTACGCGGAGGCACGCCGAGCGACCGAGCAACTGCACCAACATGGCGCGAACGGCACACGCGCACACGTGTCCCCCGCAGCGGTGCGTCGTGTGAAAACAGCCACCACGCCCCGACACCTGGCACAGCATCGGCCTGCCCGCGCGCGCCGCCGGCGATCCGGCCGGCGCGCGGGCGAGCGTGCTGCCGCCCCCGTGACGGTCCCCAGCCGAGGCCGGCGCATCTGTGGCTGGCGGGTAACAAGGCAGCGCGGGGTCGGAGCGGGGCCAATCGGCCGCCGACAGACGGATCGATTACAGCGGCTCGGCGGCGGCGTCGCGGCCGCCAGCGTTCACCACAGAGGCGAGGATGCCCCGCCGCCACCACCCCGCCCGCCACAGCCGCTGCAGAGGGGAAGGCCGGGTCGAGCGACAGGGCGGAATGCGGCGCCGTGCGGTCTGGGAAGCGCGGCCGGCCGGCGGATATTAGACAACTGCCGAACGCTGAAGGCTCGCCATCCACCGTGCTTGCGGACAAACCGGCGGCGTCGCCCCACACCGCGAACAACAGTGTGGTCTTGAGGGGGGGGGGGGGGCAGAAGGTCCGTCTCGGAGTCGTACGACTTCATCGTCCGCTGACACGGTCGGTGACTGCCCCATCCGACGTGCCGACGGGTTACTGCCCCGCCCAACCCGGCCGCGGTCGTCTGCCAGCTCACTCCGTCATCGCAGCGACCCCCGGCGAGCGTGCTGCCGGGCAGTGAGCGAGGTCGGCGGCATCAGAGGCCGCCGTCCGCCCGCGGCGTCTGAGCGGCGCCAGCTCCACCGGTCACTCACAGCCCGTCGGCGGGCCGTCGCCACGCCCGGCACCGGTCGGCACTCACATCGCACCCCCTTCCGTGCGGTCCCGGGCGTCTCAGCCATCGCATTGAGCCGTCTATCACAGCTCGGTGACACAGACAGAGACACAGGCGGCGGGGCCAACACTCCCAACCGCGTGCATCCCACCGTGCGTCCACAGCGTGACCCCAGCCGGGCGCCATTTGAGGCACCGTCGTCACCGGACCGGTATCCGCGCCGCGCCCAGCACCACCCCCGCCGCACGTCAGCAGCTACGTCACGGGGCACGTCCTCTTGAGCCGCCCTGAGCCGGCCGGTCGGCGAGGTCGGTCCTGTGGCGGAGCGCGGGTGCGCGCGAGCCGGCCGCCGGCAGGCGCCCACCGCCGCCGGCCGCGGCCGACACCGACGCGTGCTCGGCCACGCGATACCGCCCCGAGGTCGTGCAGACCGACCGGTGCGGTGCTGCGTCCTGCGGGGAGCAGGCGCCCAGCTGAGTCGTGGAACCGACACGCGCCGGACGGTTTCACCGCGGCGGGCATTAATCCTGCGAGCGACGGCGAATGGGGCGTCTAAATAGAGCGGGCGGCGCCGTAAAGCACCGGGCGACGCGTCGCGTGGGAGTCGCCAGGCGGCCCCGGCTGGGAACGAAAAGCGGTGGCCATGACTGGCGGCACGGACGCGTCAGCCGTTCCCGGTGCGGAAGAGCCGCGGCCACGACGACGACGGCGGCGGCGGTGACACGACAGAGTGGAGCAACGCGTCACAACGGAGCACTTTTCCGCTCTGGCGCCAGGCTTCGTGGAAAGCAGGGGCTCTAAGACTGCTCGCCCTGCAGCGGCGGCTAACCGATCCGTTATGTCGGATCGGTTAGAAACACATCGCGGGGATTTATGCGATGGCCTGGCTTCGGATGATCGAGCAGTTAGCGGGCTCGTAGGCGCACAGGCCCCATAAACGGGAGCTTTCATCAAGTTGTCATCTCCGCCGACGTTATCAGAAGGCCGCGGCGCCCGCCGCCGCCAGCCCGCCAGACGCAACTCGTAAGGCCAGGGGTGACCTTGGTGCGGAAGCAGGGTGAACACAGCCCGCCCTCCTCCGGACATGCGCACTGACCGTGCCAACGCCAAGGGTGCTCAGGATCGGCCCGCGGCGCCGGGCTACGCCGCCGGCCGGTCCTGCGGTCGCCAGTCGGGAGGCGGCGGCCCCCCAAGATGCTAGTAACCGGATTAATGCCACCACTAGATGTCAGTTGCTGAGATGTGTGCTGGTCCAGCTACCGGCTCACAAAATTCCGTCATGGACGTTGGTCTGTGCGACGCCGACGAGCGGCGCACTTCACCGTTCACTAACGACTGTTAACTAATCTGCAATTAATCCCGTGCTAACGCAGCAACTGCAACGGCCATTGGCGTAATCTCCCGTGATTCAGTTATGGCTGATCGACGATGTGTTAATAGTGGTACATGCGGTGACTTCAGTGCAATGGCCGATTAGTCAGACCTATTTACTGATAGAATAATAAAGTGTCATGATCAAAACAACAACACACCTGATGATGAGAAGAACATTTCGATGCTCCAATACAGTCCACAAAACATCTAATTCGAAGCCCTATCGAAATCTTCCTGACCCCGTCTGCTTTGGAACAGCACGATTACCCCTTTACGGTGAGCGCGTTCCGGAGACGAACGCCCCACTTCCGGCGCTATCAGCTGGGCTGACCCGGCCCTGTGTCCGCTGAGCTGTCGGCGCTGACACACCATCGTCAGCTGCGGCCCCAAGATAGGCCGCTTATCTCCTCGCCACAGCGTCGCTTCCGGACCCCTCTGCAGTGTGTGTGTGAGGGGGGGGGGGAGTGCCGCTTTGATAACGAGCTGGCCGCGTGCACACCTCGCCCGCCGCACGTACCGCCAAGTCGGTCGGCAGCCGTCAAACGCCAGCGGACCGCGACGGCCGCGGCCGGGTCCGCGTCGATGTCGACGAGCGCGACGATGACGTCACAGTCACGCCGCCTGTCCGCCGGGACCGTCAGAGGTGCCGGCGGAGAGCGCCCAAAGCCGCCCAGTCCGCCCGGCCGCAGCGGAGGAGCTCCGGGCCCCGCAAACACGCCGCTCGCCTCCACCCTCGGCCGCGCAGACTGTCGGCCGCCATCAGTCGACATAGAGCAGCCCTCGCCGCGGTGCAGCGAGCATGTGTCGCCACGGCTCGGCGTCCAGGCCGCTGCCGCTGGCGCGGTGGCCCGCTCTGTCTCACCAGTCGGAAGTCTGAGCACGTGTTGATGCGCGACCGCATACAACACATAGCGGGCGTGCGTCTGCCTTGCAACGAGGCCCACTACACTCAACGCTCGACCTGCTCTCCCGATTACCGCATCAACGAGGGGGCATGTCCGGCCGGCGCGGGTCCGTTCGGCCTCGGCGGCGCGTCTGCACGTGTCACCAACAGATGGCGGGCGCGTGACGGCCGCTTTGTCTTCACCGGACCCGTCGCGCTCCGTGGCCGGATCGGGACCACACGGGGCGGCCTGCGTATGCACGCCGCAGAGGGCTGGTCGTCACGGCACAAAGGCCGCCGAGGTCATGCCCACGCGGAAGGGCAGAGGGCGGCCAGTGCAGCACGAGAACATGACTCATGACTCATCTCGGGCTCACAGACTGATCGGCGCCTTCTGACAATCCGAAGGTCCAGGGAGAAAACCGCACTTTTGCTGGCACTTGGTACGTCCTCCTGGGTGCCCCGTGGGCAAATCGGGGTTTTTTCCTTGCACGTCTTTTCCATTTCAAGCTGACACAAATATTGAAAATGTGTGCCGCCACAGCAAACTTTAAGAAACGCCACGGAAAAAAATGACGAAGGTTTCCCGGTAGACATGATGGATATCGCCACATATGAAACGCGACACGTTAGCACTTTAGGGCCTGCCAAATTTCCACAGAGGCTTCGCATAATACTGAATTTTCATTCTGCGGGATTTCTTCGGAACGCCAATCATTCCTTTCCTGATTGATTTAATCATTCCTTATTGATTTAATGATCCCTTACTGACTTCTGTTCTCAGCTTTCTGACAAAGACGACGATTATATGCAACTATTGGGCTTAGCCTTTTAAGAAAACCGAGAGCGCTAGACACCTAACACCAAAAAGCAATGCCGTGACAAAAGTACAGCCCTGCAGGCCGGCAACACAACTCCGACACGGACATAGTGCTGTGCGCAGAGAGAGAGAGCGAGAGCAAGAGCAAGAGCAAGAGCAAGAGCAAGAGCAAGAGCAAGAGCAAGAGCAAGAGCAAGAGCAAGAGCAAGAGCAAGAGCAAGAGCAAGAGCAAGAGCAAGAGCAAGAGCAAGAGCAAGAGCAAGAGCAAGAGCAAGAGCAAGAGCAAGAGCAAGAGCAAGAGCAAGAGCGAGAGCGAGAGCGAGAGCGAGAGCGAGAGCGAGAGCGAGAGCGAGAGCGAGAGCGAGAGCGAGAGCGAGAGCGAGCGAGAGCGAGAGCGAGAGCGAGAGGCGAGAGCGAGAGCGAGAGCGAGAGCGAGAGCGAGAGAGAGAGAGAGAGAGAGAGAGAGGAGCAGAGAGAGAGAGAGAGAGAGGAGAGAGAGAGAGAGAGAGAGAGAGAGAGAGAGAGAGAGAGAGAGAGAGAGAGAGAGAGAGAGAGAGAGAGAGAGAGAGAGGAGAGAGAGAGAGAGAGAGAGAGAGAGAGAGAGAGAGAGAGAGAGAGAGAGAGAGAGAGAGAGAGAGAGAGAGAGAGAGAGAGAGAGAGAGAGAGAGAGAGAGAGAGAGAGAGAGAGAGAGAGAGAGAGAGAGAGAGAGAGAGAGAGAGAGAGAGAGAGAGAGAGAGAGAGAGAGAGAGAGAGAGAGAGAGAGAGAGAGAGAGAGAGAGAGAGAGAGAGAGAGAGAGAGAGCTGG